ATTTTACGGCTGCATTAGAGATCAAATGGAAAGGCGTTTATTCTCCTATAAAATGGTAGAATCTATAATGAATCAAAGAAGCTATGAAATGGATAAAATTGCTCAATGTTCAAGCTGTCCAAGTGTAATTCTTCCTTTGATCTTATTGCTGAAGACATTAGGAAATTAGCTGATGAGTTTCATGTTAAACTTTGTGTTTGTTAAACGGTCTGTGAACATTGGTTGTCTACATGTTAGCTAGGAGAACCTTGTTCATTGTCATTGTATGGAATGGAGGGTTAATCCTTCTAAATTCTTGATTGATGTCCTTTTTGGTGATCTTAATTAATGATATGTATTGTTTCTCCAAAAAAAAAAAATTATTGGTAAAAAAAAAAACTTGTTTATATTTAAATTTTAATTTTTGACAATTTAATACTAAACATATATATTTTGTAACATTTTAACGATTGAGCAGTCAAAGAGTACTTCCAAGTAACGAATTAGTACAAATGGATTGTTACAAGTGGGGTAGATTGTAATGTAGAGTGGATTACAAGTAGAGAGACGTTACATAGTGAAAATTACTAGTAGAGTGTAGTAGTTAGTTGTGAGATGAAGATAATAAGTGAGGGGGAGACCCTCCTATTAATACTAAGTCGGTCTACGCATTTAATGCACTTGTTGCAAGTGGCTTGGCGTGACGTCTTCTCGTTGGCTTGGTCAGACGGTCACTTTGTAGCTACTCATAGGTTGACTGATCGAGGCTACAAAACCGTCAGACCAACAAGCTGTTTGTCGTTTAAGTTAGGTTTTTCGGCTTGCTGGTAACGTCACATTTACCTATCATACACGGAATACAATGTTTAATGATAATAATAATTTTTTATTTAAATTTTATTTTAGGGCATTTTTTTTGAAGCACGACAATGTATATTCTTAAAAGAAACTGTGGAATAATCTTTTTGGTACATTAATATTGTGTTATTGATATTCTAAACGGTTACAAAATAAAAAATAAAAAAATCATTTAACATAGTACTAGTTTGAAATTATACATAGATTAAAAATGAATTGGTACATTAATATTGTGTCACGTTTAGTTCTAAACTTTTAAATTGATCACTCAAGGTCTTTCGATTTTTAAATTGTTACCATTCATGGACCGTGGTCAAGTTAACCACCACTCATGGTCATTCAACTTTTTAAATTTACCAACCGTGGTCTTCCTGAAAGGACCATGGGTGGTTAAAATTTGACCCTTATTCAAAAAAAAAAAAAAAAAGAAAAGAAAAAAAAAAAGAGAAAACTAGAAAGTATGACAGAACGACGCCGTTGGTATTGTTTACTACTGGTATAAAACCCTTGCTTAATTCTTGAAGCATGAAAGATTAAACCACAGTGACCCGGGCATCGGAGAAGAGGAGGAAGAAAGAAGACGAATAGCAAGCACAAATGAATGCTCCCGATCGTTACGAACGATTCGTCGTCCCTGAAGGCGTCAAGAAGTACTTTTCATTTTTCATTTTTTTTTTTATCTCTCTGCAATTTGTTCATGTAATCTGTTATCCAATACTTATGGATTCTCTCTCTGCTTTCTCTCGCTAGGGTTTCCTACGAGCGGGACACTAAGATTATAAATGCCGCCACCTTAACGGTCGAGAGAGAAGACCACACCATCGGCAACATTCTACGCATGTAATTTCCTCCACTTTTTTTTTTTTTTTTTTCCTCCTTAAGATAGCTTCTATGAACCCTAGTTACTGATTCTGATTGTGGTCGCAGGCAATTGCACAGGGATGAGAATATTCTCTTTGCTGGCTACAAGCTGCCTCACCCCCTTCAGTACAAAATCATACTGAGGGCAAGTGATCCTCTCGTTCCTCGCGATTTTATGAACGTTAGTGTATTTTGAGTAGTTTCAGTCTTTTCACTGCTGACCTTTTCCTCTGCTCTACCTGCAGATTCAAACAGCAAGCCAGTCTTCACCAATGCAGGCCTATAATCAGGCTATTAATGATCTTGACAAGGAGCTTGATCATCTGAAGAATGAATTTGAAGTATGATTGTTTTCTAGACTTTTTTTTATAGTACCATTTGCCTATTCTCTGATGCATAACATTTTGTTCCTGAATAATGTTCCTGTCGAAATTATCTGTTTTTATGCCTGAATTGATATGCTCATATGCATTCCAATAAGGAATTTCCAAAGTCATGCTAACTTGCTCATTGAAAATGGTGTCAACCAACCAATGGAGGTGTTATCTTAGATGAAAACTAGGTGCTTGCTCATTCCTGATATCACCTTGGAATGCATCAGTCAGTGTTGTTTTTTTATCTGAGAATGTTATTTTGTTCAACTCCTTTTGCATTTCTTCCATGATGGGTTGATGTAACTAAAAGATCTCTAAGAAAGGAAGTTTGATTGTGTGACAAGCAGGTATTCCGCATGCCATTCTCTTGGCTTTCTTTTCCTGGACTATAAAAATCTCATGTTATAAATGGATGTACTAAGTTCTGATTAGCTATATCCTTTCAGGTTCTTGTTAATAACTGTTGAAAAATGAAATATTCCCAAGTAAACTAGTGATAAAATTGGTATAATCTATACTACTCTGGTGTCCTGAATGAGGTAGTTACATTAGATTCTCTAAATAATTAAAGTTTCTTTTTAATTTGCCATGACTGAGCAAATCTTTGTTTTAGGAGGCCATTCATAATTTGTGCATGTAATTTCGCAATCTCTCCTGCATGGGTTCGTTGTTTACCTTCTGATAAGCATTGAGCTGTTGTGATAATACGACTGCTTTTCTCTATTCCCTTTATAAAAAATTGTCTGAAATGTGAAGACCTTGATGCTGTATTTGATTCATGTATGTCCACTTTATGATCATCCATCTTTTCAATTTTCTGTAGACTGAACTGGCGAAGCACACGCGGGAGTTTTGATCCACTTGAGCCACTGGGATTGTATATACAGTGTTGGAGCACTCTTAGATCAATCAAACCAAATGTGCGCCTCAGTCATGAAGGTGTCCCACCTTATGTTCTGCAAACTTGTATCGTGTTTGAACTAGCTAGTAGCTACTCTGAAGTTTCTAATAGCTTAAATTTGTACTTTTTGCACTAAGACCTTTGGGAAGCATCAAGTACAAATAGCTTAACTATCAATTTGATCCATTTTGTTTTCTGCCATTGGTGGATTTTCTTGTCTTTTCTTTTGGGATAAAAGTTTATGCAAGTCTAATTGCTTTTGCTCAATCTCATAGTGTTGGTAAGTCGACTTCTATGGATTATGTTACAGAGCTCTCGTGGGGAGATATTGAATGTTGTACAAAGCTCCCGTAGGGAGATACTGAATGTTGTATGCAAAAACGAAGCTCTTGTGGGAGATGTATTGAATGTTGTATTTAAAAATAAAGCTTTCGAGCTTATGTGGGGAGATATTGAATGTTGTATGCAAAAACAAAGAGCTCTTGTGGGGAGGATACTAAACGTGGAGAGATACTGAATGTTGTATGCAAAAACAAAACAAAGCTCTCGAGCTCTTGTGGAGAAGTACGGAATGTGAATTGAATGTTGTATTTAAAAATAAGCTTTCAAGCTCATGTGGGGGGTATTGAATGTTGTATGCAAAAACAAAGCTCTCGAGCTCTTGTGGGGAAGTACGGAACGTGAATTGAATGTTGTATTTGACATTAAGGGTGTGTTTGGAAACTCGGAAAATTTAAAGTCAATGGAAAATCATTTGTTGGTCAATGGAAAATGACTTCTCCTTTTTTTGGGGAAGTCATTTTCCTAGCCCTCTCCTCGCGCGTCGTCCATCAGCGAATATATGAAGCTCAGGAAAGAAGAGATCCTGAAATCTGTGAAATGAAGACTTGGAACAAATCTTCGAGAAACAACGGGTTTTGGTTGGGTAGAATCTCTGAATCGTCGTCTTAGAAGCTCCAGGAGATACGCAGGAGCTGTGGAGTCCTGGTGGAGAGCTTGTTCTGCTTGGTTAGTGTCATTGGTTAGTGTCATCCAGATTCTCTCTTGTGAGGCGGATCTAGGCACAGCCTTCTGTTGAATTTGTCCATCATTTTCATTCTTTCTTCGTTCTCATTAGCGCTGGAGCACTTGGGAGGGCAGTTCATTCTGTTAAACATGTGGCTTGAATTAGTCTCTAGCAGTTCTGTTATTTACTCTTTCTTAGGATAAGTTTAAATTTTAATTAAATAAAATAATTTGCAATGAGTTTAAAATTTAATTAAACAAAATAATTAAAATGTTTAATTATACAATTCAATCATTTTCTGAAAAATGAACCAAACACACAAAAGACAATTTTATGTTGTGCAGCCAAACATCGGAAAGGAAAATATTTTATGGAAAATGACTTATTTTTTAGAAAACATTTTCCAGAAGTCATTTTCCTTCTTTCCAAATGGACCCTAAAGCTTTCAAGCTCATGTGGGGAGATATTGAATGTTGTATGTAAAAACAAAGCTCTCGAGCTCTTGTGGGGAGGATGCTAAACGTGGAAAGATACTGAATGTTGTATGCAAAAACAAGCTCTCGAGCTCTTGTGGAGAAGTACGGAACGTGAATGTTGTATGCAAAAACAAAGCTCTTGTGGGAAGATTATTGAATGTTGTATTTAAAGATAAAGTTTTTGAGTTCATGTGGGGAGATATTAAGTGTTATATGCAAAAACAAAGCTCTCGAGCTCTTGTGGGGAAGTACGGAACGTGAACTGAAGAGATACTGAATGGTGTATGAAGAAATACTTATACCTCATTCAAATTAATTATGTTAGGTGTGTTTAAGTTTATTAAATATAAATAATTACACTATAAAAGTAGGATGATAAAAGTATATAAGTGTATAGCTTAGGATTTGAAGAAAATGGTTTGACGACGTGTAGGCAGTAGGCATGCAAAGGCGCGAAAAAGTGTGTTATAAATAGGAGGAAAAGCCCATTTATGTCTAGTCTCCCTCTTTCTTTCTCTTCTTCTTTCCCTCTATATCATACATAGACGATCTCAATTCATATTTGAGGAAGTCGGAGATTCGATCGGCCTTGGGAGTTCTCCGTCTCTCCTCAGGCCGCCCATAACCATGGCATCTTCAGTTTTCGGTCCCTGTTGAAAAAGAAAGGAAACTCGAGAAATTTTTGAAGTAAAGAACACCCTATCCGGAACTATATATATCTATATCCACAATCGCATTGTGGATTTCTGGATATTCTTCATTTTCAATAACCTTCTGAAATATGGGTGTGATTTCGAATACGGTGATGCCGGTCTGCGATCAGCTCTGTTTTTTTTGCCCGGCAATGCGGCCAAGGTCACGGCAGCCTGTGAAACGATACAAGAAGATGCTTGCCAATATCTTCCCCAAATCTCCGGTTAGTCTTCTCTTCCTTAATTTGCATGCCCGATTTCTCAGTTTCATCTTTCATTGCATTTCGTTTTCAATATCTGATTGCTTATTCAAGTCTGCTATTGAGGGGTAAATGAGAGCATTGGGCTTTAATGTATGAAAAGTCGAGGAAATTTCTATCTTCTGTTTTAGCTTCAACATTCATAAACAGAATCCTATTAGCCTCCTCGGCTTCCTATAATCTTCTAGTGTTTTGTTTACATCAGTTTGTTATCTGCACTCGGTTCCTCTGTGATGTAATCCCTCTAGAGTCTAGAGATGGGTGTTCATTCATCCATGTTACTTGGTTACCCTTGTCCCCTTATTATTACTTATTATAGGTTTATGTCCTTGTCCACTCATCCTTGTTACTTGTTATCCTTGTGCCCATGTCCTTAGTTATAAATCTAAATTTCTGTTTCTTTGCATAAAAAAAAAAGTGTGCAGCTCTGTGTATTTACTTTTTTTGGTTCATTAAAAATATGGTTTCATAATTTGAGTAATATGATTGCCTGTTCAATTACTGATTAATCAATCCCTTACTTTTTGCAGGATACGGAACCCAATGAACGAATGGTTAGCAAATTATGTGAATATGCTTCAAAAAATCCACTTCGTATACCGAGGGTTAGGCTAATTTCTCAACTTGAATTTAGATTATATAACCTGATCTTGTTTGTGGTGGTAGAGTGAGTTATTGGCATTTCAACATCTTTTTCTTCTTTCATTCAACATGGTTGATGCTTCATCTAGCAAAAGATGAGTCATGAATTTTCATATGGCAAACTATGCACAAAGGTGACTAGTGGCATCTATATGCATTGTTTTCACCAGACCATAAACCTTTAATTAAATATACTTGATCTTTTATCAGATCACGACTTCTCTTGAGCAACGGTGCTACCGGGAATTAAGAAACGAGAATCTTTCATCTGTAAAAATTGTCATGTATGTCTACCAGAAGTTACTAACATCTTGCAACCAGCAAATGTGAGTTCAACTTTCTAATTATTACAAATTGTTGATAATTATAGAAATGTCTGCTTTGGATTTCTGATGACTTTGTACTACAAACTTTAAATTCTTGGTCTTTCAATCAATTAGGCATTCTAGAGTTCTCCCTGCATGGATGACTGATAGTGTTAGACACCTATCCATAAACTTGGCCAAGTTGAGTACTGAAGTGAGAAATAGCTTGCAAGGGCAGGTATTCTTATGAAAGGAAGAAATTAAAACAGCCTGTGAGGTCTAGAGAAATCTATGAAGTATCTAGTGAAGGCACTGCACTTTAGACCCATGCTATAGCTCTTTTAACTATGATATACTTTTACGGGATGGTAAAAGACACCCAGTGTTAAATTTGCAGCACTTCTTTTTTTACACTTTCTATTGGTGAGAGAAATTGGCAATCTTTCCTAGTTCTCCTTCCACCAAGGAAGGGAAGCATGTCCAATGAAAAATGAACCTTACCTCAAACTTCTCTTCTCTTTATGATGTATGCCAAATGCATATAAGTTTCTTGAATTTTTTTTTTTTTCTTTTTCTGCATGTCTCTTTTCAATCAGAAATTCTGATTTATGGCCTTTGTCATAAGAGGAAATTTTGGGGTCTTCAATGAGCTGCACCTTTGAACTGATTTCTTCATACAAACAGTGCTGATGACAAATAAGTACTGTATGACAGGCCATTATTTGCAGGAAGCTTTCTTGATATTGTAAACGTGTTGTTGGATCAGATAAAGTATGATGAAGTTCGCATTGCTGCATGCCTAGCCCTTTTTCACTTCATTACTAACCAGGTTATAGCCCTTATTTTTCTGTCTTTGTTACACTGTTAATTGACTTAGAGATGAAGAACTATTAAGTTATCTGGGAATATGGAGCTTATACACTGTTTCTGATGTACAGAGTGATGCAACATATGTGTTTAATTTAGAAAGCTTAATACCAAAACTCTGCCTAATTGCTCAAGAGATGGGAACTGAGGAAAGGATACTGAAATTACGCTGTTCTGGACTTCAAGTGCTCTCTTCTATGGTAAACTGGTTCTTCAGCATTCTTCTGTACCATTTACCTTTCACACCTGTTGGTTTAAATAATTCATAATTTTTTGACATTTTTGTTGCAAACCTATGGCCATGGTTTCATTTCCATGCGGTTGTTTCTGCAACTTTTCCCTAGTTAATTTTAAAACCAATTACCTGTAAAATGTAGACAAATTGCTAGTGCATAATATTAAGTTTCTCCTCTCTCTTAAGATATGCAAATCCTCAATTTTTTGTCATTGTTTTAACAATTCTAGTTGTTGATGAGCAGGTTTGGTTCATGGGTGAATTTGGTCACATGCCAGCAGAATTTGACAATGTAAGTCGAACATAGAACCTTTCCTCCATTACTATAATTCAAAATTGAGTGTCACACCAGAATTGTTATTCTATATATCTATACACACCTAGTGTAACCTAGAGTTCCTATATTTCAACAATTTATTTCATTCTTGCATCACACACAATTGTTGTTCTGTATGAGGTGCAATTCTTGGTTGATTTTGTCCTCGTACAGTAATTCCAACACATTCCATTTTTTTCAGAGAGAAAAATCATACTAAATTGGTGTGAAGTGAAATGCTCACTGTTAATGTTTCTTTCTCCTTTTAAGTCCTGTGAGCATTTTCCACCCTGTGCCTAATAGTTTGGTTATTATGCTGCTTGGATTCTCCTGTCTTCAAATTTACATTACCAGGTTGTTGCTGTTGTCTTGGAAAACTATGAAGGCCCTGAGGATAAACCTGACTACCTTAATAATGATAACCAAGATACAGAAATTGACCAGGATAGACAAGAATGTGCAGGTGTAAACCAAGCTAATGCATCATCTGAAGCAATCAGCAGAGCTACCTCTTGGAAGAATATTGTGACTGACAGAGGCCTTAGTGTGACCCTGTAATTCCCTCTTGCCATGGTATTTTGAGCATGAAGTTAAATTTTTCTTGAACTATTAACCACCTCATCTCCAATAACCTTTTATGAACAGAGAAGAATCTACAAACCCAAAATTTTGGTCTAAAGTGTGCTTACATAACATGGCAAAGTTGGCGAAAGAAGCAACAACAGTACGCCGTATTTTAGAGTCTTTATTCCGTTATTTTGATAATGAAGATCTTTGGTCACCTCAACATGGAGTTGCCATTTCTGTTTTGTTGGACATGCAATGGATTGTGGAGAACTCTGGTGCTTTATCTTTCTTTTGTCTGGATCTTCTAAATTCTTACTTCAGTATAAGGTGCTATTTGTCATTGTTTTATTTCTCAATTTCACCTTAGATTTATTTTGTTGGTTTCCTTGAAATTCAGGGCACAATGCACATTTTTTGTTGTGTACATTAATCAAGCATCTTGATCACAAGAACGTCCTAAAAAACCCTGATAAGCAAGTAGATATTGTTGAAGTTGCAACCTCCCTTGCACTGAAGTCAAAGGTGGAGTCATCAGTTACAATTGTTGGTGCATTTGGTGATATGATGAGACACCTTCGGAAAAGCCAACACAATTCCCTTGATCAATCTGATCTAGAGGAAGATATAATTGAGCAGAACAAAAAATTACGTGCTGCAGTTGATGAATGCCTCGTCCAGATGTCTCGTAAGGTGAGTTTTCCTCCTTTAAATTTTTCAGAGCATATCATAGATGTTATTGTTGTCACTGAGATTCTTTTTATTTATTTGAATGTATGATGTACTTATTTGAGTTTGAATGAGATCATCAGTTTTGATTGTTTTAGATTCTTGCTGGTCAACTTAAATAGGACAACATCCCCCCTCCACCCCCAACACGCACACACACACAAACACACCTATAAATTAATAAGAAAGCAATAAAATGAAAACTAAAAAGACAAAAATGAAAGAGAGATTATAGTCTTTTCCTCTATTTAAGAAGGTATAGACTAGGAAATGTAAACTGTTATACTCTGTAAAACAGATTGGAGATCCTGGTCCAATTCTTGATATGATGGCAGAGATGTTGGAGAGCATCTCAAATGCAACAGTTACAGCTAGGGATACGATCGCTACTGTGCATCGTACTGCTCAAATAGTATCATCATTACCAAATTTATCATATCAAAACAAGGCAAGATTGGCTTTATTTCTTTAGACTGTTCTGTAGCAATTTTATGTTGATATATCTCTCTCTAATGTACATTATTTCTTCAGGCTTTCCCCGAGGCTTTGTTTCATCAAATACTTTTAGCCATGGTCTCAACAGACTATGAAACAAGAATTGAGGCACATCGTTTATTTTCTGTTGTACTTGTTCCATCATCCTTTTGTCCTTGTCCTTCCACCAGTGCAAAGAAAGGTGATATTCAGAGAACATTGTCCAGAGCTGTTTCAGTGTTTTCTGTTTCTGCTGCTTTATTCCACAAGTTGAGTAAGATGGAGCATCCCTCACAAGAAATTATGGATGGGAAGGAGAACATTTTTAATGATGAGAATGAACAAATGAATAACCAATCGATGTTAACCCGATTGAAATCAAGCTATAGCCGAGCTTACAGTAGTAAAAGGCTTCAATTGTCAGAAATTGATGAAGGAAAAGGAATGGGCAATGTGGAAAGGGAACTGGTATGTTTTACATTCTGGCATGCTAAGATTCCTTTAAATGACGAATTCATTAAATAAAAAAAAGATTCTTTCTCCATAATTTGTGATGATTCTATCTAGCTCAATGCAGGACTGCAATTCTCTGAAGTTGAAAACACAACACATTAGCCTATTGCTTTCTTCCATATGGGCGCAGGCCATCTCTCCTATGAATACACCCAAGAACTATGAAGCAATTGCTCATACTTACAGTTTGGTGATTTTGTTTTCACGAATTAAGGTGTGATCCACTTTTGATTAAAGAAAAATAAGAATAAAAATACAAGTACATATTGGTATTCATAACAAATGATAATACAATATCCCTCATGCTGATCCCACATACAAGATGCTTCTTTTACATTAATTGGTCATTATTTGACAGCATGCTCTTAAATAATTTAATCAGAAAAGCTGCCATGATTCTCTTATTCGAAGTTTCCAGCTTGCATTTTCATTGCGGAAAATTTCTCTTCAAGGAGGTATGTGAATTAAGTTACCTTGATTTATTTACTGATATATTTGATCAGTATATGCTTTCATCTTTATTTATTGGAAAATCTTATTTTTCCTTGTTACTTAACAAGTAGTTCTGTGATGATAAATTTGCCTGCTTTCTTGAAACCATAGTTTTCATGTTTGAAGGGAAGCTTCCACCATCACGAAGCCGATCACTCTTCACATTGTCAACATCTATGATCGTTTTCTCATCAAAAGTCTACAACTTAACCCGTCTACTTGCTTCTGCCAAGGCTGCATTAATAGATAAAACAGTACGAGAAAACATCATTTTTTCTATGTTCACGCAATTTAGGCATCGTAAAATTCATATCTTCATCTTTAGCTGCTTGTTGAATGAATGTTTCTGTGTTAAGTATTGATTTTGTTAATTTTGTATCAATGATTTCCAACAGGTTGACCCATTCCTTAAGTTGGTCGATGAGTGCAAACTGCAGGATGTAACCAGTACATTGGACCCTATGTTGAAAGTTTATGGATCAAAAGAGGATGACGAAGATGCCCTGAGATCACTTTCAGCCTTACAGAAGTCTGAGAAAAAATCTACAGAATCTTTTGCTTCAATGATTGTGGACAGCTTGAAGCAGTCATTAGATGTATATTTCTTGTGCCCTTTGCCTTAGGATATTGTTTTCTCCTGGTGATGATAATGGCTATCATCTTGTATCATTTGCAGAAAGATATAAATGTTATTCAGCAGCAGTTGCTTAAAACATTTATTCCAGATGATGTCTGTCCATTGAGAGCTAAGGTACTCACTCAAGTACCTGATTGATTCTATCAATTTGAATCAAAAGAGTACAAAACATCAGACGGGGTGATAGGAAAAAATCACTTCTTATAGTTCTTTTTCATTTCGAACTTTTCCAGATACATTCATGTGTTTTGGGTGTGCAGGATTTAGATCCAATTTTCACAAGCAATGACAGCTTTTCCACTACTGGAGCTGAGAGTCAGACAGATCCCAACCCTCAGATTCTTTTGCAAGAACCAAGCCTCATGGATGTCAACCAATTATTGGATTTGGTATGTCTAATTTCCTTTTTCTCAACCAACCAGGAGTTATTAATTAGGATGTGCACTTTTGGAGCTTCTGTGCATATGATGTGTTTGGATGGGTAGATATGGAATTGTTTCTCTTGTTTTGACGAAAAAGAATGATTTTCTATTCTATCAAATGTTTTTCTTCCCAAATACAACTATAGAAGATAATAAGGAGAAAAGTAGTCCTACATTTCTCATCACACAATGAACATAGAAACTCTTCATTGCCTTCATATACTCTCTCCAATTTTACTTCCCTTCATTTTCTATCCATCCTGACACAAGCATTAGTTTTTCAATGTTTCATATATGTCCTTAGGGGATTCATATGAGGTAAATATCAACAACAAAAGAGTCCTCATGGACGATATTTAAGAACAAAGAAATGGGGATGAAAGAATTTTTGTGATAGAAAACTGCAAATTGCTTCCTTAAATTGCGAACTTCCCTCCTTTTGGACTTCTAACTGGAATTCCATGGAAGGGATTCCCGGCAAATTATGCTGTGCATCCGTATGCACCATGCATGGTGCATACGGATGCAAAAACGACGTCGTTTTAATAAAATGTGCGTCTCCTCTTAAAAAAAAAAATCAGGTTCGATTCCTAGCAACAACATATGAACTAAAATTTCATAATCGATGAACTATAATTCCATAATCGATGAACTATAATTCCATAATCTAATCTATGAACTAAAAATTCCAAAATGAATGAACTAAAATTCCATAATCTATAAACTAAAATTTCAGAATCGATGAACTACAATTCCATAATCGATGAACTATAATTCCATAATCAATGAACTATATTTCCATAATCTATGAACTAAAATTCCAGAATGAATGAACAATATAATGTTGTTGCTGGGAATCGAACCTGATTTTTTTTTTTTTAAGGGGAGACGCGTTTTTTTAATAAAACGACGTCGTTTTGGCATCCGTATGCACCATGCATGGTGCATACGGATGCACAGCATAACGATTGGGGATTCCCTGAATCATAACTTAAAGGCCGCCTTTTCATACAAAATGCTAGACATTCCACCATACATTTTTATTCTATTCTGTATTATGTGTATGTATTTATTCACTTACCTCTAGAGTGAGGACTCCAGTAGAATAACAGAATAATGTGAGTTATGCAATTTGAATCATGCATGCTTGCCAGACTGAAATTAAACCTCAAATTTTCTTTTACTATCTTTACTTAGCATAGAGATATCTGTTCTAAATCCCCAAGCCCCCTGCTGCTTTTCTAAAGTTGTATGGATGAAACTTCTGCAGATCTTAGATGCAACAGTTGATGCAGAAACACAATCGGTTTCAAATCCTGAAACAGCATTCATGGATTATGATAGTCAGTGTGTGGCTCTTCAAATGGGAAAGCAGAACACGATGGACATTATGAGTGCCGAAGAGGTTCAAGAAAATCTTTTGTTCTTCTTTCAGGAAAACACCAACCCATTTGCCTTTGATGATCAGAATTTCCCTACAGTAAGTATAATAGCACAACAAAATGTTTTGGTCAAGCTATATGGTATGAATGCTATCCCTTGAAATGTCATAAGACGAGTTTCAAATTTTTAGTCTGTGGACTGTGGGCAGAAAGCTAAGTAACTGATCAATCATTTCACATTCTCATTTTTATCCTCTCCAATCTGCATAGTGTGGATATCTGAAACCATTTCTACTGCAGGCTGGGAATGCAAATGACAATCCAGACCCTTACAGCGTATTTGGTGTACCATCAATGAACCCTACTACAATGTCATGTGCAGCTGAATTTTATTGTCATTTCTTCGTACCACCGGCTTCAAGTCCATATGACAATTTTCTGAAGGCTGTGGGAAGTTAATGTTTGAGTATTATATAGATCACACTTGTGAATCTTTCTTTGTCTTCCATTAGAAGAGAGCTGTGGTGGGATTCAAGAAAACAATCTGAAAAAAAAAAAAAAAAAAAAAAAAAAAAAAAAAAAACTCTCTATAGGAACTGGGCTTTAGAGTGATCACTTTGTTGTAGTCATTTTTTCTCATCAAAGTGATGTGAAGCTTCTGTAGTCTTGAGGTTTCTGAAGAAATCTCAGTGCATGACAAATGATTAGAAATGAGAAAGATTAGAATGGTGCCGAACCGTCGATTTTTATAATGCCATATAACATAATATGAGTTCAAAAGTAGAAAAGTACACATTTTTCTTTTCGTTTTATTTTAAAATAGAGAGTTATAACTTATAAACGAGATCATTTATTTTTTATTTTAATGTAGTTATTCATCACATATAAGTACCTAAAAGCTCACACCTATGATAAGCTAACCCATATATGCATGTGCAAAAACATACACTCACTCCATTGAAAGATTTAAAAATCCCTACAAAATCAATAAATAATATGTTTGCGCTCCGCCATCAAATTATCTTGCAAAATGGTAGTTCATAGGTTAAGGGTGTTATTTACGCACTACTGGAAATTATTGAATTTCTGATCATCTGAAAGTGATCTTAAATCAAGTCGGAAGCAAAAAGTGGTCGGAAATAGCAACAATGGTTTTTCCGGATACCAAAAGTGGTCGGAACAAGGGCTTTCGACTTGATTTAAAATCACTTTCAGGTGGTCAGAAATTCCATAATTTCCAGTAGTGACGTATATTAACGCAATCTTAAAAAGAATGAAGAAATTTAAAAGTATTACATGCCTCAAAAAATTAAAGAAGAAAACCAGATGTTACATACATACCTTAATCAAAAGGAAGAAAACAGTTCTTACACAGGATGTTTTGTGACCATACAAGAAAGTATATATTGCATAACCTATAATCATGCTACAGAAGCACCTACCTATAATTATGGGTTTGAAGTATGTAAGTTTGACTTTTGAAATTATATATATTCTTGTCTGCTTAAAGGAACTTAGGGTATGTAGTATATATATTTATTAGCTATTGAATTTTGTTTACTACCTATTGGTGTGAGTGGCGAGCTAAGTTTACCATTAACCCTTTATACATTTAGAACTATTTTTTCTTTCAAATTTTGGACAATGATTGACTGGATCAAACACTCCTTCCCTAATGGTCTTGCTAACTGCTAACCCCAACCCGTATCCCTCAAGAATTATCGGACTCCATAAACCTTGCAAGTATTCAGGATCGAATGAGCTCCCGACCCAAGCTCACTCGACTAGTCGACTCACATCCTTGAGCTTAGATAACCATTCATTGGCCAAGGTCATCTAGCCCAATCATCTTTTTTTCCATCAAATCTACCACAGGTTGAGGTTGGGTCACAAATCACAAATCATATACATAAATCACATTAATTAAAAAAAATTATATACAATAAACTTGATCGAAAAAAAATGTTGATAAGAATCTAACATCCTTTATTAAAGTGACAAAACTATCCCAGGTTAAATATAATTCACATTGCTAAACTTTGGCATGGTGGAATGAAAAACTGGTCAAAATAGGCAGATCAGAAATGGTGGAAAAGTAAAAGTGCATCATATCAACCAAGATTTGGAATCAAAGTCAACAATAATGTACAAATAGACGACAAATGAACACATTACATGGAAGCTGTATAGTACCTACTTGGACAGGATGCATGTGGAAACACGACAGAAAGATCTCACTTAATTAGCTTCTTCAGTACACTGTGCATATGTTTGCATGTGAATCATCTGTCATACGACGAGATAATAGAGCATGTATGCCCCAGATGCACCTTCGAATTGAGGTGGCAAAAGTTTATTGGATTATCAGTTTGGCATCCAATCACTTCTTGGCATGTGGCCGGAGGCCCGGAGTATATATATATAGGAAAAAGTTCAAATGCGGCGGGGTCTTCCGGTGTGGCTGTGCAACGGAATTTCAGAATACACCAACAGTGTAAGAAAACACACCACAATGAAATCCAATAAAATATCAAAAAATACACAAACAGACCCAAAAAAATACACCATATAACTCACCACCCCAATGGTGTATTTTCGAACACTATATGTTGTTTTTACTCACATCTACTGGTGTGTTTTTGGTGATACGTATCTAATTTGTCTCTGTTTTTTGTGGTGTATTTTTCTAACGATGATGGTGTATATTTTTTGAACTATTGGTGATGCCGCACCGCCACACCTGAACTCGCCTATATATATATATATATATATATATATATATATATATATATATATGACCAAATATGCATTTCTGCTACCGATCAGTAGTCATCGTGTATGTTTTTTAAAATTTAGATAAGATAATACAATTGCATAAACTAGATTCAATGAATTAAAGGATTTTGAGTGCACAACATATTTATAGGCAATGATTTGATTGATAATCACATAATTATTCTTAATCTGCAACCACCCTTTGTAGGCTTCAACTATATCCACTGCGGGCTTCTGTTTACAAATCAAACAAGAAGATCAGACCTCATGGATCATAAAAATAAAGATTGTATGTAAAAACATATGACTTTGAATCAATCTTATAATAATATATTCTACAAAGATTGCTTCAGCAAGGACATCCAAGCACAGTAAGCACACACTATCTGCTGAGATATATACACATATACAGCAAATGACAGGCTCATCAGTGCCAAGTCCTTCCAGTCACCCTTCTTCTTCGGACCCAAACTATCCTTCAACCATTTTCCCAGCTTCTCCACCCCACCAACAACCTCTACTTTGCTCTTGTTTTCCTTGTCTGTTCTGGGTTTCAAAGGCTCCGGCGGCTCGCCGGTCCGGCAAGAAACTACGACGGAGATGAGTGATCTTGGAGTACTGGTGCAGGATTTGGGGTAGAGTTGCAGGGGTGAAAGCCTGGTGCTGTGTAGAGAGTGAGAAATTGAGATTGCAGCCATGGAGGGTTTATGGAAATTGGTGATCAAGGATTGAGGGATGTTGTATAGAAAGATGATTACTTGGGGAATTGAAGGGTAGAGAGAGTGAAGGGGAAATGGTTAATTGCTTGAAGGAAAATATCTTGGTGTTGCCAATGGGAAAGCAATGTGTGCCTTGTGTTCTCAAAGCTCCTACGTGTGGATAAGGTTGTATGAATGGACTTTTTGTCATTCATATATATATATATATACTAGTTTTTTACGGGCATTGCGCGATTGAGATAATGCCCAATATTTTTTTTTTTTTTAATAAGTACTTTAATGTATATCAAGGTAAGATTATATTTGAATTGTTCATGCATAAATAATTGAATGTTAAATTTGCGTATTTAAATAGGCAATTCTAAATTTACAAATGCAAGATAATATAGTCAAGATTGATTATAATTGTCAATAAAATAATTGTATAGGTATGGTTGAAACCAAATACGGGACATAAGGGAGAGCAAATAAAAATTAAGACATAAAATATTAAATATGTACTAATATTGAAGAGCTAACTGCTGATTGTCAAAAAAGGACATTGCGAGCTAGTTTCCACTTCAATTTGTTGTGTGATTTGAATACTCATTTTGTCAATAAATCCCCAAATAGTTAATATGATTGACTTAATTATATTTTTTATTTTTTATTTCTTTTAAAACAATTATTATTATTATTATTATTATTATTATTATTATTATTATTATTATTATTATTATTATTATTATTATATGTACACCCTTATGTCATTTTACATGTTAATCTAAACAGCTAATTTTTTTCAATATATCTTTTTACCAATCGTTGATATAAATCGCTGGTCAAATTCGCTAATATAATTCGCTAACTGCTAACTGCTGATTGTTAAACAAGGACATTGCGAGGTAGTTCTCACTTCAATTTGTTGTGTGATTTGAATACTCTCTTTGTTAACAAATCCCTCAAGTAATTAATATGATTGGCTTTATTAATTATTTTTTTTTAAGTTTTTCATGGTATTAATAAAATACTTGGTAAACAAATATATAACATTATTTTGTATTATAACTTTGATATTTAATTAAAAAATAGTGCACAAAAAAATAATAGACAATGTAGTGAATATAATGCGTTGATGAATTTGAATGTAAAGAATTTTTACATTGGAGAAATATAAAGACAATATAACTAATACAATTATTTCTCTTAATTAATTTATTGATAATGAATATTTTTTTTTAATAAAGACATTGTAGGGACAATGTAACGAATATAATCAATTAATGAATTTGTATGTAAACAATTTTTATATTGGAGAAAAATAAATACAATATAACTAATGAAATTATTTCTCTTATTTAATTTATTGATAATGAATAATTTTTTTTGAATAAAGACATTGTAGACACATAATTCTAAATTAAAGAAATGCATATGTATTATTTTTTGTTGTAACTACTAAATTATTATTTAATTTAATAAGAGTAAAATAGAGTACTAATTATGCCAACTTTGATTGGGATGGGGTTCGAACCTAATACCTTTCTTATTGAAATCAATGAGTAAGTTAACGGTAAACTAACAGAAGTTAACGGAAAAGTTAACGGATAATTATATTCATTAAGGATAAATTAAGAAATGTTAAGGAAAAATTAAAATCTGATCAATCTGAGCCATTCATTTGATTAAAAAATTTAACCGCCATTTTTTCTACCCATTATAGGCCTAACTCTCTTGGACTCTTATTAGTATAGTAGATATATATACTAGTCTTTTTAATGCGCGATGCGCAAAAACATATGCCCAATATTTATATTTTTAAAAAATAACTAACAAATTTTTACTAATTAAAATCAAAGTAAAATAAAATTTATTTATTATATTAATCTAATATATTATGAATATATAATGTTTTACAAATATTTTGTTATAATTAAAGAATATAAGAAAATATATGGTAGATGCATGTGCATGGTAAGTAACGGAAAAGATAACGGAAGTTATAACAGTAAGGGTACTTTTGTCTAAAAAATTGTATAGTACAACTCTAAAAGCACAATGTACAAAATAGTTAGCATTAAAAATATGGACATAAATGAGGGATATAACTTTGATTGAGACTTATTATGTTTTTAGATATAGAGATTTTGAATCCGGTGCACACCCCCTAGTCAGTCGAGCCCGTGAGCACACTCCCTGATCGTTGATTTTAATTTTTTGACGATTCAGATTGATTACCACTTGGATCCCATGTTATACTAATTTTAGATGGAGCATTGGTCTTTTTGTCCATAAGCACTATATTTATTACTTTCCATTTCATTTATTTCCATATTTATAAAGATTTGTAGCATTATTTCAGCTCTCCTTAATCAATATTTCTCTCTCTCTTAGTGATTTTCTTTGGAATTTTACGGCGGTGTGTGCGTGGGTGTGGAATTGTGTGTGCGTTTTACTGTAACAGGGCATGGCGTGCTGATTTTTTTTATAAAATTATGCGTTTTGGTATGTGCATTTCGTGATACAGGCATGTACATTTTGGTTTGTGTGTTACTAGTTTCAGGAGTGTGCGAAACGTATCCAAAAAAAACAAAAATATACGAATCTAATTTGGGTATCGGCGTTTGAATTCCGAGTAGATAATCAGTGTGTAGTAGATATAGTATTGGGCTTGTTGTGTTTTTTTTTTTTTTTTAATTGTGGGAAATTTTACGATGGTGTGTGCGCGGGTGTGGAATGGCGTGTGCGGTTTTCTGTAACAGGAGGTATACACCATGGCAAATTATAAAACGCACACACCATTCCACACCCACGCACACACCGCCGTAAAATTTCACATAATTTAAAAATTCAGATGTACAAAATATAATTAATTATTACCATTGATGGGTCCCTAATAATTTAAAATATCAATTTCCATTCATAATCTCCCTAATATAATGCTTAAGATTCCAATTGAATTATATCCATAATTAAACATATATCTACACTTACTATTTAATCCTTTTGATTTAAATATATCATTAATTACTTTGACAATCTCTTATAATTTCAACCATTTATGAAAAATAAATCAATGGATATCATGAGATCTCATGATCTCATCTAGTATAGGGGTTGCACCAGATTCGAAGCCTATATATATATATATATATATATATATATATATATATATATATATACACACATATATCAGGCTCTTGTGCCGTCAGTACAGATTCACTATCAAGTATGCATAAATGCATCATATAGTATACAAAAATGCACCACAATGAAATGCATCAATGTACCACAGATAAAAAAAATGCACATCTCATCATACCTAATAGTGCATTTTCGAATATTTAGTAGTGCATTTATACGCACCTAATGCTGAGTGACCGCACGTGAAGTACTGTCCGCACAAGAACATGTATGTGTGTGTTAGATGAACAAGTTTTTAGGACAGAAATAAGAACCAATTTCAACTCTACATGTGAAAAAAATCAGGCAGATCGGATCAATTTTTTTTTAAAGAAAAATGCGGTGATATTTTTGTAATTTTCACCAATGATTTTATTATACAAACTTGAACACTAAAATCTACAATCCTCAAACTTTTTTAGTTTGCACATTTAGGTTTAATATTTTGCACATTTGGTATATATTACCATTTTGCATATTTAGTATTAAAAGATTGCATTGCAAAAATGCGAAAGTGCATATTTAAGTGTTCAAGTTTGAATAGTGAAGTTGATAATAATTATGAAAATGCCACCATACTTTAAAAAAAAAATAGCTGATCAAATCCGTCAAATTTTTACAAATGCAAGGCTAAGATTAGTTCTTATTTCTCTCATATGGTACTGTTCTCACATAATCCTTAGCCAAACGTGTACACTGTGAGAGTGTAAACTCAACGTGTATTATTGAGAGATTGCAGAAGAAATAAATAGGGAGCAATCCCACAGAAGAAGGAAACAACACATACAAGTCTTAAAAACCAGGTAACAGACTAATAAACCTATACTATGTCTAAGTCTCAACATACACTAGGTAAACTTAGCTCATATGCAATAAACGACAAATCACACACAATACTAGGAAGACCTTGTGTGACATGTTAGATCAAGAGGATGTTGACAATAATTAAATTCGTAATTTGCATATGCAAGAATCATATTTAATCAACTTAATCATTCTTTTGAGGCATTTGAAATGTATTATTACTTTAAGAGGAAATTTCAATTTTGGTCCTATGACTATAGTGGTCTTGTTAATTTCATTCACTGCTTTCAAAAGTGTCAATTTAGTATCTTAACTATGCAATTTTTGTCAATTTTGGTCACTCTGGCCAAATTTGTCAGAAAATTTTAATAGCTAACATAATGAGGATATTTTGATCATTTCACGTCTCTTTTTTTCTTCCCAGGCGAGTCCATCACTTTCTCTCCCGTTTTCGGCGAATGCAATGAACTCCAACAATTTCCCCTATAGTCATAAGTTGCGTCGTGAACTAAGCTGGGCCGATTGACGACGTTGAGCCGCCAGGAGGGGAAGGAAATGTTGGCGGCGGCGTCAGAATCGCGATCGTCTTCCTCGACGAACCTAAACTCGTTGTCGTAGGCTCAAGGGTAGCAGGAGACCTTCAAGTGCCAGAAGCTGCGAGTTTTTACCCGTTGGTGGGTCACGGAGGATGAGGAGCAATAGACACATAACAGGGGGTGGCTGCGGCCGATGAGAGGTCGCAGTGGTTTACCTTCCCCCAGACGTTCATTATCTTAAGAAGAAAGTCACAGACATCACCTTCAGCCCCGTCGCCGCCATTGGAGATGTCGATCTCAACAAATGCAAACCTTGGGATTTACCCAGTAGGCTCCAATTCAGAGTGCATGTGGCGGTGTTAGTTGAACATAATTTGTATAAACAGTATTGTTAATGGCGATTTGATTGCAGGGAAAGCTAAGATTATGGGGAAAAGGAGGTTTGATGATATGAAAGATAGGGTTTGCAAGGAGAAAGAACGCCGAAAATGGGATAGAAAGGGATGGGTTCGTCGGAGAAGAAGAAAATAAACGTGAAATGATCAAAATACCATAATTATTTTAACTATTAAAATTTTCTGACGAAATTTGATCAAAGTGACTAAAATTGATAAAAATTACATAATTAATGTACTCAATTGACACTTTTAAAAATCAATAACTAAAATTAATAAGACTCTTTTAGTCACATGATCAAAATTGCTCTTACTTTTATTATTGGTGATAAATTATTACTCCGTATATGATACCATTTGACATATAGTGATCAGTGGAGTAATATTATACGGAGTATTATTATTATTGCCGACGTTGTAAACTGGGCTCTACGCCTCTACCAGAATTATTGTTTAAAAATTGTTTTTTAATGGGTAGGCAGTGAGGCTGGGCCACTTTGCTGTGCAGAAAAGTCAGACATCCCCAAACAAGAGTCAGAAAAAGCAATAATGAAGAGTCAAAATCTAAATTCCAATAGTCAAATAGTAATTGGACCCTCCATCCAACAAATCCCCTTTTAAAATAAAGTCTATAGAGTTTGTATAGACTATAGAGCAAATTATTCGATAATATTGTGTTATATACTCTGTTCTATATATTAACAACATTATAGAAAGATTTATAAAATAAACTACTTGTGTACATAATGGTGTCATAAACATGTCTTAATTCTTACGATCAGCTTAACTAGTCGCAATCTAAATTTTTCAGAAATTAAATCTGCTCTTGATTTTGATTTATTGTTGTTCTCTTTGAATTTTGGCTTCGATTCTGAACAATCTCCGCAAACGACTCCGGTTAATGATTAATGATAGTGGTGATTTTTCTTGTAAAAAAAAAAAGAAGAATGAATAAGGGTCAAATAGGTCATTCAACTGTACACCAAATTGCAATTAGGCCATCGAATTAAAAATATATATATAATTAAGTTCATGAACGGCACAAATTTATACAATTGAACTCAAAATAACATATTTACATGAAAGTATGCTGACGCGGTGTTACTGATTTTAAAATTAATTTTAAATAAAATAATGTAAAAAAAAAAAACTTCTGGCCGGAGACGTCTCTGGCCGATTGTTTCTGTTTTTTTTTTTTTTTAAATTTTAATTAATTATTTATTTAAAATTATTTTTAAAATAGGTAACCGTCACATCAGGTAAACAATTAAACATGTAATTTTGAATTAAATTGCATGTGTTTGTGTTGTTTAATGGTTCATTGCATTTTTTTGGGGTTTGATAATTTAATTGTAATTTGGTGTGCAGTTGAGTGGTTTTTTTTTTTTTTTTTTTTTTGAAAACTAAAGGAACTTTCATTAACGCAAATGTTCAATACAAGAAGAAAATGTAATCAACCAACAAGAAGAACCAGTCTAAGAACAAGTAGCTCTTGTCAAAGCATGAGCAAACCTATTCACGGATCTTGATATATATTGAAAAGACACTAAATCAAAGTGTCGCTGAATGGTCTATTTGATCTATTATTCAAAAAAAAAAAAAAAAAGCTAGTTGGGTAAAAAGCATTTCATGAAGTAACCGGTGACGTGGAAAGGTTGGAGTGCTTCACTTTAACTTTCAAAGGGAGGTTGACTAAAACAGGTTGACTAACGTGCGCTCCAATGCGCATTAAATCATTTCCAGCCAATGCCCTTTGTCTATTTGACACCCATGTGGGCCCCGCTGCAACTTGCGTATTCAAATCCCCTTCTCACCTTCCTGATAAATCTTCGTTGACTAACCTGCCCTTCTCTCTCTCTCTCTCTCTCTCCGCATACTCTTTTCTACGGTATATTCACCGAAACGTCGCCGGAAAGCGTCGCACCAGAGAATATTTTCTGGCAAAGGATCGACGACTTCTCTAGCTCTCTCCGGTTCTGTCCTGCGGTAAACTTCTCAACTGGGCCTTCAAACTTGAACCCTTTCATTTTGGATTTTTTTTTTTTTTTTTTTTTTTTTTTTTTTGGGAAATAGATGGTTTCCGCATGTCATCTGTATGTATCGTTGTTTGATTTATTGTTGTTGTACTTTAATTAGCCAGGTTGTGGAGTTTCATCAAGATCTGTTATCGACGTTGATGATGTTGTAATGGAAATGTTTGTTTTAGTTAGAAATTAGGGTTTTGTTGTGTTCGGCCTCATTCCCGTTTACTTGGATTTCCGGGAGCGTTGTTTGTAATTCCGTATAATTTTATAGTACTTGAGCTGTGGTTAGAGTGAAGATTTGGGAAAGTTCGGGCTTGAAGATTTCTCCTTTACTTTGTATGTAAATTGAACAGGGAGGTGCTGAGATCAGTAGTTCTTTCTCTGTTCAGGATTGGTTCCAAATCTGGTTTGCTGTGCATAAAGGGGGAAAGATTTGGACTTGGCTGCAGTTTGTTGGATGATCTCTTCCGATATATAGTTATTTTATATATATTTTGTAAAATTAACGATGAAGAGGTTGAGGTCCAGTGATGATCTTGACTCATATGGAGAAAAGAGTGTGTCAAAAGATTGGGGAAGGAGGGAGGAGGATCCCAGCTTGCATCGTTCCTCATCACACAGGAGTTTTTATTACAAGTCTGAGGGTGGGAGAAAGGTCCTGTCTTCTTCATCATCTAGGTATGATCGGTCAGATGATGACAGAGATAGTTTGAGATCTGTTAGGAAGCGGCCAGATTATGATGCAGACAATTATGATAGACGGAAGAGCTATGATCGGTACAACTATGCAAATGAGCGAGGGATCCTGAGCTCTTCCCCAAGGGGAGGGTATACTGCAGATCGGATTCATCGGTCTGAAAGCTTTTCTGCAACACGTAGGGAAATTCCAAAGGGATTTAGATCAGAAAGGGATAGGTCTCGGCGGGAGGGGAGTGTGTCATCCTGGCGCAGGATTGGTGCTGGAAAAGATGGTGAAGAAGTTTCGAAATGTAGTGGTGAGTTAGTTAGAGTAACTAAGGCAGAATCAGATGATGTTGTAAAGGCAAAGTCTCCATCGGGGATGAGAGATGCTAAATCACCAGCTTGGTCAAAGGACTCTGGGAGTGAACAATCAAGGAGTGTAGAAATTAAGAGAGCTGAAGAATTACAAGTAAATAGTAGTGGCCAGAGCAGTGAAATGGAAGAGGGAGAACTACAACCAGATCCTCATCCATTACCTGCCACAGAGACTGCAGATAAAAATGAAATGTCTGCTGGGTTGAACTCATCAACGAAGGAGCCTGACAATGAGCATCAGGTGCAGGGTAAAGAATTAGAGGATGGAAAAAATTCATTGCTTGCAGAAAAGGTTGAGTCTAATAAAGTTTGTCATGCAGAGGTTGAGTCTGAGGATAGGCATTCAGAAAATGCTCGTGTGTTGAAGGAACCTGCCGATTTACCTGATGACCAGAGTGCTTCTATGGGTACAGCTGGAATTGGAGATAGAACTGTGAAAGACATAGATAGAAGTGACAAGGGTGAGAAGAATCATGAGGAAAGTAACTGTTTTCAACAAGAAGTTAAGAACATGGGTTCAGAGAAGTCTCCACCTTCAAGAAAACCAGGTGAAATGAAGGGTATCAATCTTGAAGCAATGGCAGATGATGCCAAGTTATCTCAGGTAGACAAGGGGCTCACCAAGGAAACTGGAGCCTGTGAAGCTGTTTTGTCTGTTGCAAATGAGGATGCAATCCAAGCTGTCAAGGACAAGGGCAAAGGTGTGACTATTTCACCCTATATGATCACAAATTTGACAGAAGATGCATTGAGGTTTGAAAGTGAATCAAAGGGAATTGCATCTTCTAGGGACTTTGATATGGAACTACCTAGTGCCAGGGGTCTTGATTTGTTCTCATCTGGTCCTGTCAAAAAACCTGAGAAAACAGATCTTGGCACTTGCAAGCCCAAAGATGAGAAGCTAGGTTTCGAACCTCTTGATCTTTCTCTTAGTTTGCCAAATGTATTATTGCCTATTGGTGCAAAAAATGCTGTAGAGCCTCCTGGATCTCCAAGTCAAGCAAGGAGCTTTCAATCCTATGACAGCACATTTCGAACAAACTCTGATGGGTTTACAATGTCTATGTCCTTTTCAGGATCGCAGCACTTTACCCACAATCCTAGCTGTTCTTTAACACACAATTCAGTTGATTATGAGCAATCTGTTAAAAGTAGACCCTTATTTCAAGGTGTAGATTGGCAAAATCTTGCTTCAAATGAGCAGAAGAATACTGAAGTTCCAATATCTACCATTTTATCAAATGGCGTTGGATTTCATCGGCAGTCCCAATCTTCTCAAGGAAATTCAACTGGTCAAGCTGTGGCTAAGCATCTCAATGTTCTAGAGGGAAAGTCAAGGATGCCTGTTGTACTGGATCAACAAATGAGTTTTAATAGACAGTTACCCGGTACACAATCTCGTTATTCGAATGGTGCCAGATCACCTCCACGGAGTGTTGGTTCTTACGAAACTGGATCAGGCTACACTAAAGACAAGAAACATGTCATGAGGGAGAAAGATGACAGTTTATACAGATTCAATCAAACTGATGGTAAAGAACAGGCATCAACTGTTGCAGCTGACTTTATTGAGTCAATTATAACAACTATGGTGTCTGAACCACTTCATGTAACTTCCAGGAGGTTTACTGAAATGCCTGGGCAACATCTAGTATCATTGAAAGAGTATGTCAATGATATCATCTCAAATCCAGGTAAGCAGTGGCAGCTTACTGCCCTTCAAAAAGCACTTCAGAAGAGGACAGACACTACCTTGGAGATGCTAGTGAAATTGCACCGGACTCAATTGGAGATATTGGTATCTCTGAAAACTGGCCTTCAAGAATTTCTACAACAAAATTATGATGTCTCATCTTCTGAGCTGGCTGAGATATTTCTAAACTTGAGATGTAGAAATGTTACATGTCGAAGTCTCCTGCCTGTAGATGATTGTGATTGTAAAATTTGCTCCAAGAAAAATGGTTTCTGCAGTGCTTGCATGTGTCTTGTATGTTCGAAGTTTGACATGGCATCTAACACATGTAGTTGGGTTGGATGTGATGTGTGTCTGCATTGGTGTCATGCAGATTGTGGGCTTCGTGAATCTTATATTAGAAATGGGTGCAGTGCATCTGGAACCCAGGGTACAGTAGAGATGCAGTTTCATTGTGTTGCATGTGATCATCCTTCTGAGATGTTTGGCTTTGTCAAAGAAGTTTTTCTAAACTTTGCCAAGGACTGGACAGCAGAAGCACTTTCTAAGGAACTTGAATATGTGAGAAGAATCTTCTTTGCCAGTGAAGATGTTAGAGGGAAACGCCTACATGAGATTGCTATTCAGATGCTGACAAAGTTGTCAATTAAGGTTGACCTTCAAGAAGTTAAAAATCAGGTTATGCATTTCCTAACTGGTGAGTACTCATTTAACTTCTCTTTTTTGTTTATCATTTATTATTGCCTACCAATGCTTTTTGTTTTCTTCACTTCTTTTAGCTGATACTTAAGTGTGGAATGGCCTAGACCTGTGTAATTTTTGTGACTATCTGTCCCCTATTTATAAAATAAGTTACGAATAATTCTGTGGAGCTGTAGCAACTTTTTATTAAGCTCATATATAGGTTATGAGCAGAATATTTACCTCTTACCACATCATACAGTTGGGCAGCTCACACTTGGGACCTACTTTTATGTGCATTTCCAGGTCTCCTGTGAATGAATACGACTCCCAAATCTTACTGAGTAATATCTTAAAATCTTAAATGCACCATGCATATAATTTTATGCTTGAGCATAAGTATGGATTTTTGAAACCATTTGTTTTTCAATTTTCTGTGTTTGTTCATGAGATTGATTATTGTTTATTTTATTTCCTTTGGTGATGTTGCAATTCTCCAGAGGGAAACAAATTGTTTTTATTCAATCCAATGTGTTGTTATAAAAAGGATCCAAGAATGGAAGGGAATTACTGTCGCACTCTTTACTCTGTTTTGCAGCTATTATCTTCCGATTCTTGTAGTTGTCAAGAAACTCATTTCTCTGAGCTTTTCCAACTTTTTTAAGAATCTTATTGTATTTGTTTTTACTTTAATATGGAATTTCTTACCAGGAGGTGGGGGATAAGATCAGCCTCCCTTCATTTTGACTAAGTTTATCAATAAATTTCCAGTTGTTTCAGGTTTGATTAAATCTTCATTTGCATCCTTTTCTTGAAATTGCAGAAACAGAGTCAGCCAGGTCTGGGAATGTGCCAATTGCCCCAAGAAAGGAGATAGAAACACCAAATCGCGAAGTGAATAATAAAATAGCCGAATCCAGCTATGGACAAGTGTGGTCAAAATGTCTCGGTGCAGAAAAGCTCCCTCAGTTGGAGAAGTCTGCTGGTTTACCATCGAATTTTGAGTGCCATCGGAATGATAAACCCGCAATGAGCTTAGATCTGCAGACAAGTATTCCAAAAGAACCTGTATTTGATGAACTGGAGAGCATTATCAGAATCAAACAGGCAGAGGCCAAAATGTTTCAGTCCCGTGCTGACGATGCAAGGAGAGAATCCGATGCACTGAAGCGAATTGCAGTTAGCAAGAGCGAAAGAATTGAAGAAGAATTCAGCAGCCGAATCACGAAGCTGCGGTTGACCGAGGCGGAGGAAATGCGCAAACAGAAATGGGATGAGCTGCAGACACTTGAAAGATCCTACCATGACTATTTCAATATGAAGATGAGGATGGAAACAGACATCAAAGATCTTCTGTTAAAAATGGAAGCTACTAGAAGGAACCTGTCAATGTGACTGTATGTCTTCTTCCTATTCTTTCCTGGGTAGTGCTGCAGGCAGGCAGGCAGGCAGGAACTCATTAGGTTTTTATCTTGTTTTCAACTGTTGAGAACAGCTAATGATGGGTCACTGATTTGTAGTTGTACTCTAGTTTTCTTTGTTTATGCTGACCAGAATGTACAGTCAAGGATGTTATTACCCTGCTATCTTTTTTTAAATTTGATTTTAAACTTCAAAAAAAAAATCATTTCACATAGATTAACAAGCCACCAAATTGGGTTGCCTTCTCAGGTGAGAAGGCAACCACCTTCTTTGTTGATTCGAAGGTGATAGTTTACCCGTCGATTGCTTTGTTGTCGGAAATAGTGTCAGAATTAGTTGAGTTGTCGGAATCTTAATGACTTGCTATTAAGTGACCCAATAACTTCGTAAATAAGGGGACCAATGTGACTCAACGATCCACTCACAAAAAACTCACTATATTAAATGTAACTATTATAGTGTACCGTGCTCGATATTATTTTCTACCATCTACTATTTGAGTATCAATTGGATTGACAGTTTTTACCCTTTTCCAATGATGATATTAATACTTTGTGAATCTCTTCTCCCTTAAAGGGAGTAGACAGAGCCAAATGCTGGTGCGCACGAAGAACATAATTCTCACACTGTCACCGTTGAGATTCGAACCTTGATCTCTTCTCCCAAATACTGTTCAATTTTAATCTCTTCTCTTAAATATTGTCCATTAAACCATTGAGCTAAGCCCCGGTGGGTACTTTGTGAATTCTGGAAGAAGATAATGGGGAGAAAGAAAAAACGATTCTCCACGTAACTTGTATTGTTTTGTGGCATTAGATGAGCAACCAGCAGACACCACAACCTACGACACACCATGAGAGATAAAGCTATAAAAGCAGCCACCACACAAATTCTCTAATCCCTTCCGCTAACGGCCAAACCCGCAAGAAAATATCCATCTTCACGCATATACTCCCCCCAAAAGTTGGATCTTTCTTCTCCTCAGAAACCGCCATGACTACATCTTCAAGTCCAGCAGCCGTCGCCGCCCTCTTCTCTTCAAGAACCCCTTCTCTTCTCATCTCCAACGCCGCCGACCCATCATCCCATCACGTCAGATTCCGAACCCGAACCCCTCAATTTCTCTCCGTCAAATGCTCTTCCGATTCCGCCACTGTCGTCGACAACTCCCCCGGCCCCAGCGCCAATTCGCTGCGTTTCGACGAGGATTGCGATGAAACCGCTGCTAAGGCGATTGCCAAAATTGGGTCCAAGGTTAGGGTTACGGCTCCTTTGAAGGTTTATCACGTGCCCAAAGTGCCCGAGTTCGACTTGACTGGCCGAACCGGGGTTCTCAAACAGTACGCCGCGCTTCACAAGGGGAAGCCGATTTCCGCCAACCTGCCTTACAAGGTGGAGTTCGTGGTGGAGGGTATGGAGGGCAGGAAGGGCCCCCTCAAATTCGTCGCCCACCTCAGGGAAGATGAGTTTGAATTTCTTGACTGATTTTGTTTTCTTTCCGGTTCTTGATGATGATGATGATGATGATTCACGTTCTCAGTGATGCTTTCCCTGAAATACTTTGTAATGGAAATAATTTTTGTAACATGTACTGTGACTGTTTGTGATTTGTAGATACGAAGTGAAATGCTTACTTGATGAGCTTATACCTCCATCTGTTTGATAAAATGCCTGAATATTGATTGAAAACCTTATTCTCTGCAAACTATTGATCTTTGCACTCTTGATGAATTCGATTCTTTAACAATGGGGTATGGATAAATGATTTGTATAGTTGGTGCTTATTGTTGTAAAATAGAATATGGATTCTTTAACAATGGGTTATTAGGAGAGGTAACAGGTTTGGTAGTACTTCTGCTAACATTGGAATGTAATGGAGCAGTGAGTCTGTTTTTGTAGGAAAAATTGTTTCCATAAGAAACTTACAGGTTATAAGTCATTGCCCATCAGCTCTATTAGTTTCAATGTATTGATTTTTCTATGTATAATTGCAACTTTTGTTTTTTTCTGAATCCAATATCCTACTTGTGTTTGTAATGTTTTCAATTACTAAGAAACTTTGGTCATGCCCAAATTAAGTCGCATTAAACTCCCAAGTCTTGGCGGAGTCATAACTTATCTTTAGTAAAAGGTGAAAGAATAGTTATCTGAATAATTGCTTTCGGGTTTCTAGCTGGGGGAGTTTTACATATTTCTGTGATTGCTTGAGCTTGTGCTTGCTACATGTGATAAATTAGTCTTAACATTGTTACCTGTAGCCTATTTAGATGACAAAACATTAGTGGTAAGATAGATTGAGAACGAGGTGAAGATAATTTCTGATGTTTGGATCCCCCGGCAGCTCTAATTTGTATGCAGTATCTAGCGGTTTTGCATAAATTATAGTGGTTGTTTTGTGTGCATGCCTATTGGCAGTGATGTTTTTTTTATGAATTGATTGACTTGTCTATGAGGAATGAGTTGAGGTTGTTGTTGGCTTTTATGGGAGATCCTCAAAGCAATGATGTGAGTATAAAGAGTGGAGGGTGTTTTTGTGCTGTCATGGAAGATATTTGCAGCAATTCACATTCTTGTCTCTTTGTGGAATATGCATAAAACACAGATGCAGAAGTTTATGGTGAAACTAGGTTAGAATTCACCTGAGGGTGGTAGTGCACTTTCTGAGTTTCTTTTAACTTGCTTTCTGGAAACAAGGGAAAAGAACACTGCAAGAAGAAAAGATAATAATCTAGACCAGAACACCCCTATAGCATCAGTTGCAATTAAAGGGCGGACGCTATCAGATAATTTACCAAACACATTTAACCTCAGATACCATAAGATGATTTGTCAAACGCATCTAACTCCAGTGATGAACATGCCTAATTGAATGTCTTCTAACAATGATTCGAATAACCTTCAAAAGATGAGAGAAGCTCGCTCGAGCATTCTTTCAAATGCTTACTCGAGCATTCTTTCAAATGCTCTGTTAAACTGGAGTGGAGAGACCTTTGAAGTTGGAGATTCAACCTTTTGGGAGAAGAAGGGAGCTCGGGCATTCCATGAGTTTCTTTTAATTGAATGGTAAATGTTAAACTATAGTGAGCCCACTACCTAACCACTATGCAGGGATAATTAATTATTATGGTACCTTATCTGCAGCATAAAGAGGGTTGGGAGAGATATGGGATGTTGACTTGTAAAACAACATGCATTTCGTGTTGGATTGGGATTTCCATTGACTTGGAAAAACTCACCCACCCCTCTTTTGAACAAAAAAAAATCACCCAAATTGCAAATTGCATTACTATTAATTTAATTTAATTATTTAAACAAGTATGACTTTATCTTAACCACTAGTAAATGATCTGGCATACACTACATACAGCTATGTCAAACTGTACTTAATGCCCATACTCCATAGAATTCTACAAGCCTATGGTTTAATCACCATTCACATCTAATCTACAAACAACAATAAAGACTTATTAATGGCAATTTTCAAAATATTCAAAGGAGAAAAGCTACTCCAAATGGCTCAAACAAAAACCATTTGACTTGCCCCGGACTTACTCGCTTGGAAGACCAATTAAAATAAATCACACTTCCAGAGGCGCGACCATTAAAAATTTAAGGCCATTGGGGGGAGTTAACCAATTAGCGTGGAGGTCTCTTGTACATAAAAGTGTACATGTAACATGATTATGTATAATATCTCATCATATAACCAACACTTTTTCGATCAAATTTGTCGTACATGGTTTAGATAAGGAGCGTGATCTTCACATTTTCAGTGGAACTTGGCACACAATTTGGGTCAAAGAGCAATATCTTTTATGTGATTTGAACTATAATTTAGTATGTGATTTGCTCGAATTTCCATAATCACCAAAAATATTAATAAATTTACCAAAAAAAATTTGAGAATTTGAGAGAAAATGACAATTTTCCATCCTCACATTTTCATGAAAAAAAAGAAAAAAGAAAAAATGAATAATGATTAAGAGGATAATAATAAAAATAATATGTATTTAAAAAATAATAATAATAATAATATGTAAAAAGAAAAGAAAAACAGTGGATGGAACATTGTTTTGTATTTACCAAGTAAGATTGAAAGAGATATGAACCCAATAACCAATTCCCATCAGTTTGGCAATAAAGTACCACAACTGTAGAAATCCTAAAGAAAAACTCCGCAATCTACCGACCCTTCTTTCCTCCTTCCATTCCAACACTTCTTCTCTGAAACCCTAAATCTTCTCAGCTTCTACCGACGACCCAGTCAATGGTTTGCCCCTCTGGTTCCTGATCCACGCCTGAGAAAAAGAGGTACCTTTGTTTACACATTCTTTCTGGGTTTTGTACGGTTTCTTGAAAATTCTCTGATGATCGTAGTTATCTGGCTTAAAATATCAATCTCTTGATTGCCCTAGGAAAAAACCCTCAATTTCGTTATTGATTTGAAAAAAAAAAACATTTCTTTTGGACTTTAATCCAACAACTTTTGATTGCGGCGAATTCTCCTAAAATTGGGTTCTTTTTAAATTTGCGTCGAATTCTCCTAAAAATGGGTTCTTTTTAAAATTTTCGTCAATCGAGAAATGCAGTGTTGCTATGAATTATGATATTGAGTTATTTTGAGTTTGTTCTTTTGAATTGATGTTAAGTGATTCCAGTATATATTTCTAATTTACCTCATCTTATATTTGGTGCATGAGAATTGTTGTTTTTGTTTCTTTGTGATGATCTGGTAATTAATTCGTTACCTATTAAATTGTGAAAATATTTGATGGAATGTACAATGGCTTAGAGTTGTAGGCATCACATTATGGAGTGTGATATTAAATATTGTTTAGCTATTCTTTGTCTTATTCATGAAAATGTTGATCTTACCATAACTTAGCATGGATTAGTTGAAGAATAGGGGATAGCTTCTTCCTTTTTGGCTGTATTTATGACTATAGATAATTATTTGATTTCCAGAACTATTTGTTTTTATAGTTATTGTGAATTGTTTACTTACTTATGCGGTACATCTTTGTACAATTTGAAGTGCAGCATCTTATATCAGACTTGGTCTCGGGGAACCGGATAAAAGGGGCAGCCCAACGTTTCATATGCAGCAGTTCTTAAAAACTGATTCATAGGAGAATTTGTTGGATACAGATTCTGGCTAATTGATTAGGATAGTTATATAAACTAGTTTACTAGAGAGCTGTATGTTACATCAATCATTAGTTTGGTTGGCGATCTTTTAAGGATCTTTAATTCCCATCGCGATTTAGTGATGCACTTACGAGCATAATGGAACTGAGACTCCGACATTTTACCTTAATTTTTCTATTTGTATCTGTGTTGAGTGGCCACGTGACCGCAGAGTCTGAAAATGGAACTAAACAAAAAGTAACTGCTCCACTGACGAATTCTGGAAGTAACGTAATAGATGGGTCTGGTAAAGAGTATGCCTTTACTTCTGATGGTGGTAGTAATGGAAACGGTGACTTGAGGGGCGGGAACAATAGGGTTTCAGTCTCTACAGTTGCGTTTTTCACGCTTGCTATGGCTGCTGCTACTGGCTTGGGTGCAGTACCGTTCTTCTTTGTTGACCTTGATCCCCAGTGGTCGGGAATATGCAATGGAATGGCTGGTGGAGTTATGTTAGCAGCAAGCTTTGACCTTATACAGGAAGGACAAGACCATGGTAGTGGCAGTTGGGTTGTATTCGGGATTTTGGCCGGTGGAATTTTCATTTCACTTTGTAAAAAGGTAACTTCTCTTGAACTCTATTTCTTCTCTCTGTAAAAAGGCATCGATATTTTTGAAACATTGCATGATTTTTATTAGTGTTCTTAAAGAAAAAGCACTATCATAAGGTTTTATAGTTCCCACTGAATTTGATTTGCCATACAATCTTTATGCCGGAGATAATTGCTTACTAGTGTTGAGCATATAATATATATCAATATAAATGTGCAATATTTGACGATCAGCTTAGGCTTTTATTGAGATGGAGAACATGCTTCAATTTAGTATCAGAGTCAGATCAAAGGTCATATCTCCTCGTCACCCGATAAAAAAAAGACTAGAGACTATGGTCCACGTGTTGCTTGGAGCCCATCAAAGTAATCGGCCTGCACACGTGAGGGGGCGTGTTGAGCATATAATATATATCAATATAAATGTGCAATATCTGACTATCAGCTTAGGCTTTTAGTTGGGATGGAGCACATGCTTCAATAGTATTCTTTTGTAATGCCTTTGCATAAAACAGAACGTTGACTTGCTTGTTAACACTTACACTGATATTTGTTTTATCTTTGTCATTATTGACAAACAGTTCCTTGATCATTATGGTGAAGTGAGCATGTTGGACATAAAGGGAGCCGATGCAGCAAAAGCTGTACTCGTCGTTGGAATTATGACTCTTCACTCTTTCGGTGAAGGTGCTGGCGTTGGGGTATCCTTTGCAGGCTCCAAAGGTCTATCTCAAGGTGTATTGGTAACTTTGGCCATTGCTGTGCATAATATTCCCGAAGGCTTGGCTGTGAGCATGGTTCTTGCATCAAAAGGAGTTTCTCCCCACAAGGCAATGCTATGGAGTATAATAACTTCACTGCCACAGGTAAATAAAAGAGATTTACACCTATCGATTTGATCTACTTGTATATCAGGAAGTTGATTGCTAGATATGTCTCTGTTTACGTAAATGCTAAGAACTACTCCCCTCCCCCACCCAAAGAAGCTCGTGATTCTATAAGTAATGCACTTCTCTACACCATGGTTTTGCTCCCTAGAGCCAATTCCCTTATTTCAAGACTCCGCTAGAGAAAAGACCACCCTGCATTTTTAGTGGTGTTATATCTCTAGTAAATCGTCAATACTTTGCACTTGTAAATATGGGTTGTTTACTGATTTTTGTGTTAATGATGATGAACAATGATGCCAAACTTCACATTTTAATGCTAATAGTATATCAATGTTCAATCCTATAATTATCGTGTTGATGCAGCCTATTGTAGCAGTGCCATCATTTGTATGTGCCGATGCATTTAACAAGTTCCTGCCCTTCGCTACTGGCTTTGCAGCCGGGTGTATGATTTGGATGGTTATGGCGGAGGTCCTTCCCGATGGGTTCAAGGTAGGTTATTTATATCATTCCTTTTGAACGGACCACACATTGAAAGAAGGATAAAATATTATATTTACAAGTTACATCGGGACAATCAACAAGGTTTTAGGATGAATTATAGATCATTCACAATCCATATTTGTAAGCTTTCCCGAACGGATAAGTTTCACCCCTTTTATGCGTAATTATTTTGATGGCTGTATGGATTTTGGCTTGCAGGAAGCTTCCCCGTCTCATGTAGCATCTGCAGCTACACTTTCAGTAGCATTTATGGAAGGTTTAAGTACAGTGTTCCAAAACTTTGGCCACAACTACAAGTGAGTTTTCTCTTCCCTTTAAAAAAACGTTAGAAAATGGAAAGGAAAGATGAAAACAGAAGCGCTACTCTTAAGCTTTGCATTGTATGGATTCTTTCAACCTGTTTATTCCTTTCTCGGTTTCTCCTCAAGGGTTCAAGTCCAAAACCCACTTTCCTTAATATTCCTCATTTAACCAAATCATGTTGTTCTGCAGTTCAGAGGATGCTTCGGGCTTCTTTATTTCTCTACTTTTTGGTCTTGGCCCACTTCTTGGAGGAGTTTCTCTCGTTGCATTTGCTCTTACGTTTCGCCTTCAGCACGCTCTCCTAACCGGTGTAGCATCGGGCATTGCCTTTGTCCTGGGTGCTTGGAGGCCATTGCAACTCGTCTTGCATTCAAAGATGGAGTTTCTATCATTGATTTCGCTCCTAGTGACGGGATTTGCATTTGCACATTTTTGTACGTCAAGTGTTTCTAAGCTTGGGAGTCGCAAGAGGACTGCAGCAAGTTCATTAACTTCTGTAACCGGCTTCCCGATGAGCTCTCTTACCCTTCAGTCGGTTTTGTGCTGCCTTGCTATTGCCCTCCACGCACTGGCCGAGGGGCTTGCATTAGGGGTTGCTGCACCCAAAGCTTATGGATTTGGCCGCCACATGGTGCTCCCCGTCTCCCTGCACGGTCTTCCTAGGGGTGCGGCCGTGGCAAGTTGCATTTTCGGAGCGACTGACAGCTGGCACGGGTCCCTCTTAGCGGCTGCGCTCATCGGGTTTGTCGGCCCATCATCAGCAATCGGAGCCATACTTGCTGGGATCGATTACAGTGGTCTCGACCACATCATGATGCTCGCGTGTGGGGCCCTACTCCCGTGCTTTTGGAGCATCGTGAAGAGAGCCGTGAGCCTGGATAAGCAGAAGGGTGTCGCTGGGCTCATAATGGGCGCTTTGTTCGCCAGCGTCTGCCTCACGTTTACCAAGTTGGTTTGCTTGCACACTCCTTACTGCAACTCTGCACCCGAGGCTGTTAGATGATGATGGACTATCGCGACTCTCATCCATGTCAGGTATTTTTGACTCCCTTAACCAACCTCTATGAACATCATTCTTGAAAATCAGGTCCTAACTCGAAGAACGAGAGCAACAAAGCTTATAAGACATCGCAAAGAGACGAGACAAGTTGTTCATTTGTACATCATATCTATACTATACGCTGGATACTCTGTTAGATGTATTATGGATTCCTTTCTCATTCGTGACATAACAATCGGGAACGAAAACTATATCATCTTTGTGTATATGTGAGAACAATCTTCTTCTAGGATTCAATGGTATTTGAGCACAATTTACATTCAACCATTTGATGAATCTGATTTATTAGTCATTTTAGCCCCGAGGGCGAAAATAAGAACTCACGATAGCTTAGTTTGGTACGGAACTACCAAACACCCTCGAGAACATGCAAAAATTGCTGTGTAGTTTGAGTGGTGAGGTGAAAAACATATTCTTGATATTACTCATATTATGGGTACTATAAATCCCCTCTTCATCACAAATCTTACTTCAAAAACAACATAAGAATGCAGGGTTCAAGAAAAAACAGACACTTGATTGTTTTCGCAGCCATTCTGGTGCTGGAGATTTGGGCTTGTTGCGAAGCCAGATCGCGGTGGCGCTTGGATGACGACGAGGAGGGAATGATGAAGAGGTACGAGGAGTGGATAGTTGAATATGGGACGGGTGTATGCGAATCAGACAGAAAAGATGAAACGGTTCAGTATATTTAAAGACAACGTGGAGTATATCGACTCTTTTAATAAGGTCGGAAACCATACTTTCACCTTAGGTATTAACCAGTTCGCGGATTTAACTAATGACGAATTTCGAACAACAATGCAGTGCGAGATGCCATCCCATTATGAGATAACGCCATTTATGTACGAGAACGTGACTGATGTTCCTCCCGCCATGGATTGGTCAAAAAAGGGAGCAGTGACTTCAATCAAAAATCAACAACAATGTGGTAATAAATATAATACTCATAACAAATTTTAATACTCAATTTGGATTGTCAAATTTATCCGGTTAATTTTTTATTGATGTATCTTTTAACCCTAAGTTCCTAACTCTAAAAATTAGGTTATCAGGCGAACTTAACTAAATTTTTTAAATATTTTAAAATTAACATTCATTTTTTTTTTTAATTTTAATAAACTAGTAAATTTACATTATAAATATAAATTTAAAACATCAGTTAACCAATCAAAATCTCCAAATTCAAATTTCAAATACAATTAACAATTATTTACATTAGAGGCGTTATTGGTTCTTTGTGTTTCAGTAGGTTGAGAAAGTATATGAACAGATACTACAATGTAATAGAGCCAGTAGCTTTCAAAAAAAAAAACAATTATTTACATTGTATAAAATATATATACAAAATTTTATTCATTTATTTAAAATTTAACAAAAAAATTAATTTATTTACATCAATAAGTTTTTTAGTTTCATTATTTATTCCAAAAAAATAATTTAATTTACAATACATTCATTAATATATTTAATAAATTTTATTCTAAAAAGACTTTAATAAAAAACTTCCATATCACATCACTTGTGAAACAAAAAATAACATTAAACTTGATTTATTCAGCTAGTTCACTCCCATCGCCTATCAAGCTTACTATTTTTAAGCTAATAGAGTTAACTTTTGATTAACATTTTTTGATTTTATTATATCAAATTAAAATATTGATTTCGAGTTAAGATTTACATCTTACTCAGAGCTAAGGGCGTGTTTAGTCCGCACATGAGAATCGGAATTAGAATCAAATATTTGGTAATAATAATGTGTTTTGATAAAAGTATTTTGCATGTTTGTAGTAGGGAGAATTAGAATAATTATCAATATTACCGTTTGGTTATGTATGAATCCTATACAGAAATATTTTTTTTTACAATATAAGAACAAAAAATGCAGGATCTTGTTGGGCATTTTCTGCGGTGGCGGCGATGGAGGGAATCGCACAGATAAGAACAAAAAAGCTAATCTCTTTGTCGGAGCAACAGCTGGTGGACTGCGACACCGTAAGCCACGGCTGCGACGGCGGGTGGGCGGAAGCGGGATTCAAGTACGTGGCCAAGAACAAAGGCATAGCCACGGAAGCCAATTACCCATACACCGGGAAAAAGGGGTCCTGCAATTCGGCCAAGGCATCCCAAGCCGCCGCTAAAATCACCGGCGTACAGTACGTTCCTAAGGACAACGAGAAGGCGATTATGCAGGCGGTGGCAAACCAGCCGGTATCCGTGTCCATTGACTCCCTAGGAAGGAATTTTCGGTTCTATAAAGAGGGAATTTTCAGCACGGGGTGTACGACGACGACAAGCCATGCGGTGACGGCGGTGGGATACGGGGAGGTGGGGGGTGGGAAAAAGTATTGGCGGTTAAAGAATTCGTGGGGGAAAAAGTGGGGAGAGCATGGCTTCATAAGGATGACCAAAGATAGTGGCACGCCGGGAGGGCTTTGTGGCATTGCCACACAGCCTTGTTATCCAACTGCATAGATATAGATGCTTATTAACTATTATCATTACTTGTATTATTTATCTATATTTAATTTAATTATTTGAGAGTCAAAAATCAAAATGATGAAATATTTCTAACTCATCATAATATTTAATTTAACTCAACAAATCACTTGCACAAGTGATAAAAGGACAAGTTAGCAAGTTGAGTAAGTTGAGTAAGTTTGTGTGAGTGTCTTACTACGTGAGACATATAATATTATATTTTATTAAAAGGTATTGCATGTATCATGATAGTACGGTCTCATACACGATTTTAGCATATTTGGTGGTAAAAAAGTGATAGAATCTTAGCCATATATAGTTAACACTTTGCCCTTACAATCGCGCTCGGTCACGGGCGAGGGACATTTAATTTGAACCTTGCCAAAGACTTTGTGGTACAATGACACCAAGTTAACTCTCACATGGAGGTTGTAGGTTCGAGACTCAGTGGAGGTGCTATTGACTCTCTGTATTTCAATAGGTTGGAAAGTAGTTATGAACAGATACTGCATTGTAATAGAGTTAATAGTATTAAAAAAAAAAAATGAACTTCCATCCATGTGGCTAAGAGAAAAAACCTTTATGCTATAAAATTTAAACACATTGAGAAGTTGAATTATATCTATAAGCTGGTTAAGATAGTAGTGTTTTTTTCTTCTCTTAAAAAGTTGAATTCCTAATCCCAATGTTCCCACATCTCGATCTAATGGAGTATTTGGAAGGATGTACGCTAACTCAATGCTTCAACAACAAAGGTAAATATCAGTGTATACAAAGAATTTGTATACCTTGAACATAATCCACACACTGAATCTTATTAAGTACTGTATTACCCTTTAGTCGTTTTAGCCCGGAGGATGATCGAAAATAAGAACTCATGACACTTTAGTTTTTATTTTCGTTTAGTCATTTTATTATCCAGGATATCAGAATGAAAACAAGAAGCCATGATAGTATATATAGCTCTGAAGGGCAGCGTGTACGGAACTACCAAACACCCTCAAGAACATGCATAAATTGCTGTGTAGTTGAGTGGTGAAGTGAAAAACATATTCTTCATATTATGGCTGCTATAAATCTCCTCTTCATCACAAATCCTACTTCAAAAAGAACATAAGAATGCAGGGTTCAAGAAAGAACAGACACTTGATTGTTTTTGCAGCCATTCTGGCGCTCGAGATGGGGGCTCGTTGCGAAGCCACAGCGCGGTGGCGCGTGGATGACAACGAGGAGGGAACGATGAAGAGGTACGAGGAGTGGATAGTTGAATATGGACGGGTGTATGCAAATCAGACAGAAAAGATGAAACGGTTCAGTGTATTCAAAGATAATGTGGAGTATATCAATTCTTTTAATCTCGGAAACTATACTTTCACCTTAGGTATCAACCAGTTTGCGGATTTAACTAATGACGAATTCCGAACAACAATGGCGTGCGAGATGCCATCCCATTCCGAGAAAACGCCATTTATGTACGAGAATGTGACGGTCCTTCCTCCCACGATGAATTGGTTACAAAGGGGAGCAGTGACTCAGATTAAAAATCAAGGACAATGTGGTAATTAATTAATTATATTACTACTCATAACAAATTTTAATACTTGATTTGGATTGTCAAGTTTGATTTTTTTTTTTTTTTTTTTTTTTTGTTAAAGGTGATTTTTTTAGTCCTAACACTATAAATTAGGCTATTGGGGGCAATTTATATCGTGCACCAGGGTGCGCATTGCATTGTGCGCCCTGATGTAAAACGACGTCGTTTTACATAATTGTATAAAAAAATACACATAATTATATAAACAAATGCACATAATGATATAAACAAATATACATAATCACGTCAACTCCCTTTCGCGCCTCCCAAAATGACATCGTTTTGGGAAGTGCGGGACGCACAATGCTGCGCACGCCGTGGTGCAAGGTATAACGATTGCTATTGGGCAAACTTAATAAATTTTTTAATATTTTAAAATTAATATTTAAATTTTTAAATTTTAATAAACTAGCACATTTACATTATAAATATAAATTTAAAACATCAGTTAATCAATCTAAATCTCCAATTTTAAATTCCAAATACAAGTAAGAATTATTTACATTTGTATGAAATATATACAAAATTTTATTTATTTATTTAAAATGTTAACAAATAGCCTATCAAGTTTATTAGTTTCAAGCTAATTGAGTTAATTTTTTATTAACTTTTTGATTTTATCATATATTCCTATCAAATTAAAATATTGATTTCGGATTAAGATTTACATTCTACTGTACTCGATTGCATTACTAGTATCATTTAATTCTAATCTTATTAATAGCAAATATTATAATTATTATTATTATTATTATTATTATTATTATTATTAGATGAAGGTCACAACAATATTACTACTTTATGGGATGCTAAATCATGATGATTATGCTATTAGTTTTATTTCAAAATTGTTAAATTTTAATATGTAAACAAACTAATTTAGATTTTATGAAGATATTTTTTTTTCATTTATCATATAAAAAAAAAAATTTATCAAACACTTTCAAGCTTAACAGTTCTTCCGCCTCTTCAGCCTTTCAAACATAACTTTTCCGCTTTCGGCTACCTTTTCAGTAACATTAATGTAGTTCTTCTTTAATATTTTTTAATAATTCCTCCTACACTTTTAATTTTCTTTTATATTGCAGGGTGTTGTTGGGCATTTTCTGCGGTGGGGGCGACGGAGGGAATCACTCAGATAAGAACAAAAAAACTAATCTCTTTGTCGGAGCAACAGCTGGTGGACTGCGAGACCGTAAGCCACGGCTGCAACGGCGGGTGGATGCAAACGGCATTCAAGTACGTGGCCAAGAACAGAGGCATAACCACGGGAGCCAATTACCCATACACCATGAGAAAGGGGATGTGCAACACGGCCAAGGCATCCCAAGCGGCCGCTAGAATCTCCGGCTTACAGAACATTCCTCCGAACAGCGAGGCGGCGATTATGCAGGCGGTGGCGAACCAGCCGGTGTCGGTGGCCATTGACGCCATGGGAAGGCCGTTTCAGTTCTATAAAGGGGGACTTTTCAGCACGGGGTGTACGACGAGGACGACCCATGCGGTGACGGCGGTGGGGTATGGGGTAATGCCGGGAGGGAAAAAGTATTGGCTGTTGAAGAACTCGTGGGGGGAACAGTGGGGAGAGCGTGGGTACATAAAGATGTTGAAAGATAGTGGCGTGGCGCAAGGGCTTTGTGGCATTGCCACACAAGCTTGTTATCCAACTGCATAGATCATAGAATTGTCAATTGAGATTAGCACATTAAATAAGTTGTGTAAGAGTGTATTATGTGAGATGTATGGTATTGCACTTTACTAAAAAGTATTACACATCTTATCTTATAGTAGTATGGCCTTACACAAGACTTATTCTAACACATTTGGTATGTGGTAAAATGTGATAGAATCTTAGCCATATAGTTAGTTGACGCTTTTGCCCCACAAATACACTCGATCAGGTCGTGGATGCGCATGTGGGCATTTAATTTGAACCTCCGTCCATGTAAGTGAGAGAGGGAGAGCCATTAGTCCGCATGAGCAGCTCAATTGGTCACAAGGATAAAGTTTGAAAAGAATGACCAGAGATCGAGTTTCATCAATGGCAGTGTGGAAACAACCTCTCAAAGTAGGGGGCTCTTTGTGCGCAGTGAACAAATGTTTAGCTTCTGTGTTCAGCTGAATTACATTGGCGGTCAGAGTTGTGGGGGGCTTTTGGAGTTGGGGATTCAACCTTTTCGGGAAGAGAAAAGAGAGAAAGAGCCATTATGTTACAAAATTTAAACGCATTGAAAAGTTGAGGCTTTGGCAGTCAGAGGTGTGGGGGGCTTTTGGAGTTGAGGATTCAACCTTTTTGAGAAGAGAAGAGAGAGAGCTATTATGTTACAAAATTTAAACGCATTGAAAAGTTGAATTATGTATATATAATAGTGCAAACTCACGCCATTTTTTCAATGTAGGACAAATAATGTTATTGTCTTTTCAATCGTATATTTTTCAATTCAAACGGATCGGATATACTTTGGAAATTTATTTCTCATTTAAGTCTTTATTCATTTAGAATATATAATATAGCAAATTGAATAATTTGATTTGATCCAAATTAAAAATAGACTTTAGTGAAAATTATACTATTATGAAATGACCACTTTAAATATTAATTATAACTAATTTTTCCAACAATTAAAGTGAAAGTTTAACAAAGGATTATTACATTTGAGACTGTTACTAAGACGGTTGATCATCTGATGAAGAAGTCCGAGTAAAATTGCAAATTATACATTTATACTCGTTAGATGAAAGGTAGAATTGCCTTTTTTTTTTTTTTTTTTTTTTTTTTTTTTTTACTTCTCATAATTGAAATTACTATATTGCTCTTTTAATTGATTTGGTTGGATGAAAAATTCTAACTGATAACTAGATTTAGTACTGCCACTAACGTAGAACTAAGTTTTTTACTAAATAATGCAATTATTGTTGTGTATATGTTATATGTTATTGATTCATGAATATGCTGAAGTGTAGTGGAGCAGAGTGACTTGTCACTAGCGTTCAAACTCGAACTAATTAACTTCGCTGAGTCGTTTAGGGTGTGATGCGGTACATAATAATTTTGTAAATGTACCATTACTATCACATATAAATATAAAACTTAATTGTAACCTAACATCATCATAATTAATAAAATAATTACTTTGCTCCCATATGCATAAGTACACTATCGAACCACATAAATCTTGTGATCTTTTATTTGTGAGAATGAAAACTAGAAACCATCATAGTATATAGCTGTGAAGGACAGCGTATACGGAACCACCAAACACCATCAAGAACATGCATAGCTTGCTGGGTAGTTGAGTGGTGAGTAGAAAAACATATTCTTCATATTATGGCTGCTATATATCCCTGCCTCTTCATAATAAATCTTACTTCAAATAGGAAGTAAAAAGGAAAGAATAGAAAAATGGGTTCAAGAAAGAACAGACACCTCATTGTTTTCGCAACCATTCTGGTGCTGCTGGAGATGTGGGCTTGGTGCGAAGCCACAACACGGTGGCACTTAGACGACGACGACGATGACGAAATGATGAAGAGGTACGAGCAGTGGATAGTTGAATATGGACGAGTGTATGCAAACGAAACGGAGAAAGTAGAGCGGTTCAATATATTCAAAGAAAACGTGAAATTCATCGATTCTTTCAATTTGGTCGGAAACCATACTTTTACAGTGGGAATCAACGAGTTTGCAGATTTAACCAATGAAGAATTTAAATCTTCAAGAATGGGATACAAAAGCCCTCTCTATATGGAGACGACGCCTTTTATGTACGAGAACGTGACCGATGTCCCTGACACCGTGGACTGGGTAGAAAAGGGTGCAGTAACTCCAGTCAAAAATCAGCAAAAATGTGGTAATTATTACTTATAACAAATTTTAAGAATAGGGCAGTAATATGGTTGATTTGATAACTATAAAGTTATAAGTTTGATTCTTAGTAGGAGCAGTTAGCCTTTTTGATTTAGGACAATTTATACTAGCTCACCCAGATCTAGTATGGGGTAGTTGCCCCCACTCATTCCATCCCCACCTCATATATATAGGTTGCATTCACATGCAAACACTCTTAAAATACAAACATGTGGACATATATTGTGCACATACCTAAATGCGGGTGCGCACACATCCGTGGACGACAATGCACATATCCAACACAGTATGCATATGTGAATTCACAATATTTGGGCTGACGTGCACACGTCCATAAACTACCGTGCACACAGGCGGGCAGCACACAAAATCATAAAAACTAATCACAACCTTAGATACCCAAAATCTAACGATCCAGAAATGTCCACGTTTGTATTTTAAGCCCGGTTTTTACATGAATGTAATTATATATATATATATATATATATATATATATATATATATATATATATATTGCAGGATGTTGTTGGGCATTTGCTGCTGTGGCTGCAATAGAGGGAATCACACAGATAAAAACAGAAAAGTTAGTTTCTCTATCGGAGCAACAACTCTTAGACTGCGACCTCATAAGCCTGGGCTGCCATGGCGGCTGGATCGGCTCCGGATTCCTCTACGTCCTCTTAAACAGAGGCATAACCACCGAAGAGAACTACCCATACACCATGAAGAGGGGATTCTGCAAACGACGCAAGGCATCCCAAGCGGCGGCTAAAATCAAGGGGTTTCGCTGGGTTCCCGCATACAATGAGGCGGCGCTCACGAAGGCGGTGGCCAACCAGCCGGTGGCCGTGGCCATCGACGCTAGTGGGTCGGCGTTTCAGTTCTATAAGGAGGGAATCTATGGCAAGGACTGTAAGGCGAAGGTGAACCACGGTGTAACGGCGGTGGGATACGGGGAGTCCGACGACGGGAAGTTTTGGCTGATAAAGAACTCGTGGGGAGATAAATGGGGAGAGGAGGGATACGTGAAGTTGATGAAGGATACCGGTAATCGGAAAGGAGCTTGTGGCATTACCACAAACCCTTCTTTTCCAACTGCATAGAATTGAAGAAGATCTGTTACTTATCATAATTATAGATTATAATTACTTGTATTATTTATCTATGTTTGCTTACTTCAAATTTGAAATCAAAATAATAAAATATTTATACTCGGTATTTAGGCTCAAACCAAAACATCAATATACCATTCCTACAAGAGTCGAGTGACATTAACCTTACCTAGTTAATTATTTGACAGGGGTTGTCTCTATTTGTAAACTCTGGCTTATGACCTTAGTTGACTATAGACGATCATACTTGTTTAAACTAAAATGGTCAATAAATTATTTAATTTTTGCTGGAGTCAAACTTATATTTTGTTATTACCAAATCAACATCATAACTAATGTGGCTTGTTGCCAAACACCTTGTGCTTAGATGACACATATGTAATTTCTCTTGAAAAAATGTTATAGGATCGAACTTGGTGGTGGGGTATTGACTCTTTGGATTGCAGTAGTTAGAGAAAGTATAGAACAATACTACCGTGTAATAGAGTCAATAGTATTTAAAAAAAAAAAAAAAAAAAAAAAAAAAAACTAATGTGACTTATCAAATTGAAATTCAGAACTAACACTTAAAAGTGAAATTAACTATTTTGTTCGCTAATCTCAATGGGAGGTTAAAGCATGACCATCATTGTGTTTTAGAGTGTGGGTGCATAAACCATATGTTTTCTCTCCTTTTTTTTTTTTTTTTTTTTCCGTACATTTTGTTTTCTTTTTTCTTTTTCCATTTCTTCTCCTACTCTCCCTCCTTGTTGGCCTACAATTTATTTTTTAAAAAATAAAATAAAATAAAAACCACCACTCTTGGGGCAAAATTTTAGCTGATGAGTCATTTTTAACGTTTTGAAAACAACGTCATTTTGAGTGTTTGCTAAGTTTAACATTTTGCTTTGAGTAGCGTTTTAAAATGACATTTTTTATTTTTGTAGCCCAACTCGCTTTTGAAAGTACTGAAACACAAAGAACCAATAACGCATCCACTGAGGCTTGAACTCATAAACTTCCAAATAGAAGTCCAACCCGGGTACCATTAGACCACATAGTCCTGGTCCCTGTGAGACCCCTTAGTATTGTCAGTAAAATTAATGATATAATGTGAAGTTCAAAATTAAAGGGGATTTGGCTTATTGTTTTTAAACGTTACTCTTATATATATTCAAATCTTGTTCTCCCAAAAAGGTTGAATTCCCAACCCTAAAGGTCCCCACATTCCGATCCGATAGAGCATTTGAGATGATGTAAATCACGGTAACTCGATGACTCAATAGACATGACCAAATGTCAATGCCCACACAAGGGACCTGTTCACTTTTAGCATAATCCCTGCACTGTTGCCACCAAGACACCAAGACTCGAACCTTGACATCTTCTCCCAAATACTGCTTACTTTATATTCAAATCTAATTAACATTTTGGGTGTTATTTCTATTTCCATTTTGATTATGATATTTCAATCAAACGTCTAAATGTGATTATAAAAATATTATCATAGTGTAGCATAATTTTCGTACTAAAGTAAATCAAATAGATTATTTTAGTCTAGAGAATAAAAACAAGAAACCATGATATATATATACTATGATAGTATATAACTGTGAAGCTAAGGACACCGTATACGGAACCACCAAACACCATGCATAACTTGCTGTGTAGTTGAGTGGTGAGGCGAATAACATATTCTTCATATTACTCATACTATGCTTGCTATAAATCCCTCCACTCACCTGCTTGGCCTCTTCACAATAAACCTTAATTACTTCAAATAGGAAGTAATAAGGAAACAACACAAAAATGGGTTCAAGAAAGTACACACACCTCATTGTTTTCGCAGCCATCATTCTGGTGTTGGAGATCTGGGCTTGTTGCGAAGCCACAGCACGGTGGCGCTTAGACGACGACGACGAAATGGTGAAGAGGTACGAGCAGTGGATAGTCGAGTATGGACGAGTTTATGCAAATGAGACGGAGAAGGTTAAGCGGTTCGATATATTCAAAGAAAATGTGAATTTTATCGACTCTTTTAATCAGGCCGGGAACGAAACTTTTACCGTGGGAATCAACGAGTTTGCAGATTTAACCAATGATGAATTTAAATCTTCAAGAATGGGGTACAAGAACCCACCCTATTATGAGAATACGCCATTTATGTACGAGAACGTGACCGAAATTCCAGCCGACATGGATTGGGTAAAAAAGGGAGCCGTGACTCCTGTCAAAAATCAGAAACAATGTGGTAATTAATTTTTTTTTTTTTAAATACTTTTAGACCCTTGATTATAATACCTTTTTCAAATTATATCCCTAACTATAGTCAAGTGTCACTCTCCTAAATGGGAGGTCATAGTTTCGAGATTTGACTTTTTATGTTTCAGGTTGAGAATCAGATACCACTTTGTAACAGAGTCTAAAAATTTGCAGGATGCTGTTGGGCATTTTCTGCTGTGGCTGCAATAGAGGGAATCAAACAGATTCGAGCAGGAATATTGTCATCTTTATCGGAGCAACAACTGTTAGACTGCGACATCATAAGCCTGGGCTGCCATGGCGGCTGGATCGGCGCCGGATTCCTCTACGTCCTCTTCAACGGCGGCATAACCACCGAATCCAATTACCCATACGCCATGAAGAAGGGATTCTGCCAACGAAGCAAGGCAGCCCAAATCGAGGCCAAAATCAAGGGGTTTCAGTGGGTTCCCAGATTCCGCGAGTCGGAGCTTATGAAGGCGGTGGCCAACCAGCCGGTGTCGGCGGCCATCGACGCTTCTGGAATGGCGTTTCAGTTCTATAAAGGAGGAATTTACGGCAAGGATAAGTGTACGACGACGGTGAACCATGCTATCACGGTGGTGGGATACGGGGAGTCCGACGGCCGGAAGTTCTGGCTGATAAAGAACTCGTGGGGGGAAGGGTGGGGAGAGAATGGATACTTAAAGTTGATTAAGGATTCCGGTGATGCCAAAGGAGCTTGTGGAATTGCCACCAAACCTTCTTTTCCAGTTGCATAGAACAAGATATATATGGGAGAAGAAGAAGAAGAAGATATATATGCTTATGATTATTACAAATTACTATAATTACTTGTATTATTTATCTATCTTGTTTAATTACGTAAAATTCGAAATCAAAGGAATAAAATATTTCAACTTAGTATATTTACCTCAAACTAAGAGATCAATATACAATTCTCACAGACAAGGCCGCAAACTTGTGGTTCCCAATGCAGTTATATATCAGGCTAACTTAGTTGGAGTTATCTTTTTTTTTTTTTTAATCTTTAATTAATTGAAAATGGACCACAACTAAGCCAGGTCAACCAGGTTACCCACAATTGACCGGTTCAAACTAAGAAACCAATAAACAATTTTAACAAAAAGTCAAATATGAAATCTTATGATTACCAAACTATGAGTTATATTATATTTGTCTACATAATATTGTGTGTGGTCGTGAATCGTGCTAAGTGTTTAACATTGTGTTTCGTTGAACCGTGATGAGTCTTGTGTGTTCTTCGGAACTATCTTTGGTTTACCCATTTGATAAGCATGCTAGTATTTAGTTTGACTTAGCTATCCTAAACTATAGGAGTAGATTACACTAGCTTAATCTCCTTAGCTATGAGGACGCAACTAATCCCGATCATGTCTGTCATCTTCAGCGGTCCCTATATGGGTTAAAACAGGCACCTCGGGCGTGGTTTAAGCGTCTACACGATTTCTTACTGTCTACAGGGTTCTGTGCCTCCAAGACTGACGTCTCACTCTTTCACTACACTGTTGGTGAGTCGCGTGTGTTTCTTCTCGTCTATGTGGACGATATCATTATGATGGGCAACAACGCTTCCCTAGTTGACACTCTTCTGCAGCACTTGTCAATAGCTTTCAAGATCAGAGACTTAGGGGCACCAAGTTTTTTCCTGGGTATTGAAACAATCAAAACTGGCGGCACTCTTCTTCTGTCACAACGGCGGTATATGAGGGACCTCTTGAAGCGAGCAGGCATGACAGAGTGTAAGCCACTAGCCACACCAGCTGCAGTTACTCAGGCAGTATCTCTAGCAACTCAACCCTTTGAGAATCCAACACAGTACCAGCGCCTAGTAGGTGCTTTGCAGTATTTAACCATCACGAGTATGGATCTCTCATATTCTGTGAATCGACTATATCAGTTTATACATGCACCGACTGATGAGCACTGGGGTCTCCTGAAGCGGGTCCTACGCTATGTTAAGGGGACTCTCGACCTCGGCCTTCGCCTGTCTCGTTCCGGGTCCGCGGATATCCATGCCTTCTCCGACTCCGACTAGGCCGACTGTCCGATTGACCGGAAATCTACCAGTGGCTATGCCGTGTTTATTGGGTCCAACCTTGTGTCTTGGGTCTCCCGCAAGCAACGGACGGTAGCTCGATCGTCAACGGAAGCCGTATACAAGGGGCTAGCCGATGTCTCTGCCGAGGTCACTTGGATTATCTCTCTGCTTCGCGAACTTGGGCTTCACTCCGGTCGCCCGGCTACTTTGTGGTGTGACAATCTCGGTGCTACTTATCTCTGCGCTAATCCAGTATTTCACGTCAGGACCAAGCATGTAGAGATCGACTATCATTTTGTTCTGGACAAGGTGGCGTCAGGTGATTTTTTGGTTAATTTTGTCTCGACCAAGGATCAGCTGGCCGATATCTTCACCAAACCCTTGCCCGCTGCACGCTTTGGGGCTCTACGTGACAAGCTCAATGTTGTCGCCCTCCAACCTTGTGCTTGAGGGGGTGTATGAGTTATATTATATTTGTGTACATAATATTGTGTGTGGTTAGTATTTAGTTTGACTTAGCTATCCTAAACTATAGGAGTATATTACGTTAGCTTAATCTCCTTAGCTATGTATTATTGGTTGTATTCTTTCAGATAATCCAATTACGTTAATTCTCTCACTCATCCAAACAACTGTATATAATCACACGCTCAAAAATCATACAATGAAGAAGAAAGAAGGAGAGAAGAAGAACATAATGCAGGAAAAACCATCATCCTTTCATTGATAACTTCTCTCATAAATATGTACAACTAATCAGTTTAACCATATCGGTCCGTACATGAACACAAATATAGGAAGAAGTGGATAATGACCATACTCATGCCTCCTTAAAAACCTGACTAGGAAAATCCTGTGGAAAAAATCTAGTCGAGGGAAAAAGAGTATATGACGTATTCCAATACATATGTTGTACGAGGTTGCCTCATTAAAAATCTTTGGCTAAGAAAACCCAGTGGGAGAAACTTAGCTAAGAGAAAAAGAGTACAACCATAAGCATTCTACGCATAATCTACAGGATAACCAATCACAAACCATCAGTGTATAATCTTCAGGATTTTGGGGTTCGTCTATTTAAGTATTTATATTCAACTTTCTCCTTTTTGATATTAATATTTCACACTCATGTTTTCAATAGCATTCTCTCATTCAGCTCTAGGAGGAAAGATTTTGTGCTTGTTGACAATTCAAACAAGATGCCTAAATTTAATATGTCTCATTTTGTTGAATTATTACCATCCAGAATGTTTAAATTCCATGATGTGTCATTAGACTTAATTGCCTTACTTGTTGATTGTAGGATGATGATTGGAGCGACTCGTGTCAAGCATCCCAAGAAAAAGTTCCATGAGCGTGATAAAATAGAAAGTGAGCTTGCTACTTTGTCTTTCATTGAAGATTTGGATTCGAGGACGAATCCTTTTCAAGAATGGGAGAATAATAGGAACCAGTACACATGGAATTCAGTAAGGGTAAATAGTGGGCTCATCACAAGGCCCATAACTACATCCTTAAAGCATCAATGGTGGAAGAAACAAGAAAGTCCAATAAAAATTCCATTCGATAGAGGAAAGTATTATAAGTGGTCCATTTCAAGTGATGTCACAGATCGAAGACAATGTTTAGAAGATTCGAGGTCGAATCATTTTTCAAGAAGGGGAGGATGATGCGACCCAACATAATGAAGATCCATTAAGAGTACAAATTGAGCCAATCACAAGATCCAAGGCCCAAATTAGCTTTATTATTTGTGATCATCATTATTTTAAATTGTTTGAAATTAAAGAGAAAACACTAGTTTGTATTTAGAAAAGATTCCTTAAATTCCTTTCTAGATGTGTTGCACTAGTTGCCTCGTTTAAAAAAAACCTTTAATTAAGAAAATTATATCAAAACTCAACCAAAGAAGAAAAAAAAAAGTGTACAATTTTGGGTTTTCAAGACCCAATCTTCATGATTGAAATCCGTTTTAATGAGTATTGCTCTATAAATTTATGAGAAATAAAATAAAATAAAAAGTCATTAAATTAAGAATTAATTCTACCAGAGGTCCATTGTCGTTGGTGTCAATTCCAAATTTAGTCTCAGACTATCACTTTTGTCATTTAACATCCTAGACTATTATTTTTTTTGGACATTTTTAGTCTTTCTAATGACCTTTCCTATTTTTAGTAAGGACATTTTTGTCTCTTCATATTTTTCTTTTAAAGTTTGTTATTTTTCAGGTTTCAACCGGTTTAATTTATTTAGGATTTTAGTTAACTTCTCATTTTTAGTAACCAAAATTTTTAAGACAAAGAATCTCTAGTAGAATTAACTCTTAAATTAATCATGGAGGTACAATTATGCACTTGAATTGTTTATAAGTCAGCTGAAATCCAACAACTTGAAGATTGATTCACTTTATAAAGATGAAAACCAGAAAGCAGCCAGCGTGTACGGAAGCAGCAAACATCATCAGTAACATGCATATCTTGCCGGCTTATCCAAGTTGAAAACCATAAAATTGGTCTCATCCTCTTAGTCGTATATATGATGCATATTGTTACAAATCTCGGCACTAACTCTTTAAGGATAAATGAACAAATTAATAAAAAGAATGGCTCCTAGATTGAACAACAAGAATACCATTGTTGTTGTAGCTGTTCTAGTGCTGGAGATTTGGGCTTGCTACGAGGCCAGGCGCTTAGACGGCGACGAGGAGATGATGAAAACATACGAGCAGTGGATAGTTGAATATGGACGAGTGTATGCAAATCAAACAGAAAAGATGAAACGATTCAGTATATTCAAAGACAATGTGGAGTATATTAACTCTTTTAATCAAGCCGGAAACCAGAGTTTCACCTTAGGAATCAACCAATTCACCGATTTAACTATTGACGAATTTCAATCAAGAATAGCATGCTTGATGCCGGACGATCAGCCGGCCGGGACAACTCCATTTATGTACCAGAACGTGAGCGCTCCCCCCGCCATGGACTGGGTGAAAAGTGGCGCTGTTACAGGCGTCAAGAATCAAGCCAATTGTGGTAAGTGTACTGTGATGAGTATATATATGTACTATACAAATGTGAATATACACGGTTACACTTTGTAAAAATCTGTTTAGTATCACATTTTTTTTTAGTATAAGTATTACATTCTCACCTTGACTCAATCTGTCTCACGATGAGACGGTTTCACAGAAGTTTTTGTCAAACATATAATTTTATTATCAACTATCAAATATGACCATGTGTTGCTTGACCAATATTTTTGTATTTGCCCCGGTTTAAGCATAGTGGTCCGTCGCATGTCACGACCAAGTTTTAGCGTAATGGTTCGTAGAGTAGCATGTTACGATTCACGACTGAAGGTAACAGTGTTCGTAGGGTGTGTGAATTGGATCCTTTGTGCATGCATAAAAATTAGGGTCCAGGTGGGCTGATTGCGCGATTTGTGGCCCCTTTTTTTGTTTACATGGCCATGGTTAGGCGGGTTGACGGGCTAAACAGGCCAGTCCATCAGCCCGTTTATTTATTTATTTTTTTAAAAAAATTTATATGCTCAAAATTTTGCCCGCCCCAAATCGTCCTTCGTCAAATACAGACTATGTGAGGACCTCTAGGTGCGGGGGAACTCAAAATGTCGGCACCCGATTCAAACTAGTTTACACAAGGGACTGTACCTTTGCTGAAATTAACTCAAAAAAATATTGTATCCCGATCGCTGACTCCTTGTGATTCTTTTGTTGACTAAGGTTAGCATATAATAAGGTTGATTCGTTGCGCGTATCTCTAATAGTGGTTGCAGATTTTGCTAAATGAGAATGCTTATATTAATTAACTTTGTTGTTGGGTGGTAAAATATTAAAAATGGTGCAGGAAGCTGTTGGGCATTTTCCGCGGTGGCGGCAATGGAGGGGATCACCAAGATATCCACCAAAAAACTAATTTCTTTATCGGAACAACAACTGGTGGACTGCGACAAAGGCAGCGGCGGCTGCAACGGCGGATACATGAATTCCGCATTCAAATATGTCGCCGGCAACAAAGGCATAACTACCGAAGCCAGTTACCCATACACGGCAAAGCGAGGCGCCTGCGACCCGAAAAAGGCATCCGCAAGTGCAGCTAAGATCGGCGGATTCCAAGCCGTCCCGCCCAAAAGCGAGGCGGACCTTATGAAAGCGGTGGCGAAGCAGCCGGTGTCTGTGGCGGTTAACGCCGGCGAAAAGCTATTTATGATGTACAAAAGTGGAGTTTTGACCTCAGGGTGTACGACCAAAGTTAACCACGGCGTGACCGCCGTTGGGTACGGCGCGATGGGCGGGAAAAAGTTTTGGCTCATAAAGAACTCGTGGGGACCAAGTTGGGGAGACAAGGGATATATAAGGTTGGAAAAGGATATTGCTGCTAAGGAAGGACTTTGTGGCATTGCCCTAGGAGCTTCTTACCCAACTGTATGACATTAAAGTCACCCCAATAAAATAAGGCAATCACAACATGCATGATGACTTATAGGAAATCATCATTAAACATTGTAAATCAAATTAAGTGTGCTTAACAATCATCATCATAATCCCATCTGCACAACTATTAATTAGCCTTTTATCAGGTCATTTTAGAACTTTTGATGTTATCTTCCTAATAATATATACACTTTGAATCAATGATCCATATTTGAATGTTTTAATTAAATTCAAAATATATGTATTCAATGTAATCAAAAGTTATGTAATATTTTAAGTCAAATTATTAAATTTTTATTCAACAAATCACATATATATAATTTAACTAGTACGTACAGTCTAGCTGATCAAATTAAACAACAATCCACCACATAAAAAAATGATAAAGTATATTCCACAGATGGACTTACCATGGACGGATGTTATTAAATGGTTAATGTCCACTTACTTATCAGGACGGATGTTGTAAAATGGTTAATGTCCACCTACTTATCAGGTTTAAGTAGATGTGATAACCAGATAGCCAAAGAACCTTAGAGTTAAGTCTGATTGACTTACAGTGACTTACACCAGTCACCAGACGTTATGCCATGGAACCGTGTTCACCATTCATGGTGAACACGGTTCCAACGGTGTTAGTGTACCGTTATCTTTTTTTTTTTTCTTTTAATTAATTACGTGACTGCCTACACATTCACTTTGGAACCATGCCTACACATTCACTTTGGAACCATGAGATTATGAATTTTCTGTTATGAGATTATGAATTTTCAGTTATGAGATTATGAATTTTCTGTTATGCGATTATGAATTTTCTGTTATGAGATTATGAATTTTCATTACATTCATAATTTCGGAGTTTCGGACATTCATAAATTATGAATTCATGCATGCACATTCACTTTGGAACCATGCCTACATATTCCCGTCCGAAATCACGGACATTCATAAATTATGAATCCATGCCTGCACATTCACTTTGGAACCATGCCTACACATTCACTTTGGAACCATGAGATTATGAATTTTCTGTTATAAGATTATGAATTTTCTGTTATGCGATTATGAATTTTCTGTTATGCGATTATGAATTTTCTGTTATGAGATTATGAATTTTCATAAAATTCATAATCTCATAACAGAAAATTCATAATTTGATCAGTAACGCGCCGTTAACTCCACATCCGCGATTTTTTTTTTTTTGCCTAAAAACGACGTCGTTTTGACTTGTGTTCACCATTCTCGGTGAACACGATTCCACGGCATAATTTGCGCACCAGTCACAAAATGGGTGACAAACATAGTACAGCGTTGAGATCCAACACTTTTTTAATAGATCAATATGTCATATATGGTTGAGCTGAATATTCCATATATGTGTGTGAGAGAGAGAGAGAGAATGGAGCTTTGTTGGTCTATTGGGCCGTTCATTTAGGCACAAAGTTGAATTGAGCCTGGAGGGGTTAAAGAATCAAGAAGCGTTATGTTGTGCAACCGTCACCATGCATGGTGCACACGGTTGCAAAAACGACGTCGTTTTGACTAAAAACACGCGTTTGATTTTATTAAAAAAAACAGTTTCCATTCATTCTGGATATATAGTTCATTCATTATGGATATATAGTTCATTCATTCTGAATATATATTTCATTCATTCTGGATATATAGTTCAAATTATGCACAACATAACACCGTTAACGACAATCGAAATTGATTTTTTTTTTAAAAAGTCAGACGCGCGTTTTTAATTAAAACGATGCCGTTTTTGCAACCGTGTGCACAATACATGGTGCACACGGTTGCACGGCATAATTTGCGAAGAATCAATGGACAACTATACGTGCCCGCCAAAAACACAACTTCAAATTCTAGCAAAAAAAATTTATTATAGTAGCAAATCATAACCATTATTGATATTGTTTTCAAAAAAACCATTATTGATATTATATAACCTATGAGATGACTTTCTCTTGGATTATTTAACATATATTAAAATACTTTGAGTGACATGCATACCTTGAAAGAAATTAACTTGAACATATACATAATTAGAAAAGACATCCCAATTAATGAACTTGTAAAAAGAGTATAATTCCAAGAAGCTAGCCTCAGCTCTCAAGACACAATAAACGAGAAACCATAACCGTATAGCTGAAGGGTATACGGAACCAAACTCCATGCATGCATAACTTGCCGGAAAACATATACTTCAAATACCTCACCATCCATAATCCTCCATTCAAATCCACTCACCATTTCTTCAACAAGAAACAAAAATGGTGTCAAGATTGATCAAAAATCTTATCGTTTTTGCAGCTATTCTGGCTTGCTGCAGCAAAGCTGCCAAGTCGATGCAGGGCTTAAACGAGGATGACGATGATGTGATGGAGAAGAGACACGAGGACTGGATGGCTCGATATGGACGGGTGTATGCAGACGAGACCGAGAAGGCAAAACGGTTTAGTATATTTAAAGAGAATGTAAAGGCTATTGAATCTTTCAATCAAGCTGGAGATCGGCCTTACACATTGGGGATCAACGAGTTTGCGGATTTAACTAATGATGAATTTGTGTCCACCAAAAATGGATATAAGAGGCCGGTCTCTCCCCGGAACCCCTGGAGGAGCATGCCCTTTAGGTACGAGAATGTGACCGACATCCCCTCCGCCGTGGACTGGAGAAAAGAGGGAGCTGTCACTCCAGTCAAGAATCAAGGCGTTTGTGGTAATCTATGACAATTTAATTTTCACTTAATTAATGATATGTTCTGTAACATATTCATGAATCTTTTGAGACCCACACCTTGATAAGTTACTTGATAAGATAATAGAGGGTAAATCATGTGATTTAGCACCTTATTATTAGGTAAAAAGACCAATGCTCAATGCTCACAAGGAGTCCTTCACATTGCTGTGACGGTCAATAAATTATATTACAGATCATAAGGATAAATGTTCATTTTTAATATATATTGAATGTTCATTTCATGTGTACTAAAGGTTCATTGTTTTGTATATCAAATAATGAACATTCAGTACACACAAAATGAATATTATATTCAATATATAAAAAATAAGTTTTATGTCAGTATCTCACATTGTAAGGTGGAGCATCCATGGTCATCATTGGTATTTCCACCTTGCTATTACCAGATTCAAACCTGCTCACTGGTGCAAAAATCGGCCTAAGCGGGCGCCTAGGCGCTAGTTGGCTCCTAGGCCAAGGCAAATTACCCCTTAGGCAAGCGGCGGCCTAGGCACCCACCATGTTAATTTGTATATATAATATGACATACACCCATACATCATGCATTGTTTTTTTTTTTTTTATATATATAAAAGCCGCCTAGGCTCTAGGCACTACTTTACGGCGTGACTAGTGCCTAGCACCTAGTGCAACCATATCCTATTTGTATACTCTCCATAATCCACCTGTCCGTGCAAACAAATAAATAAATAATATCTATATATGTAGGATGCTGCTGGGCATTTTCTGCGGTGGCGGCCGTGGAGGGAATCGTGAAGATATCAGGAGGCGAATTAGTCTCATTGTCGGAGCAAGAGCTGGTGGACTGCGACAAGGGGGGAGGAGACCTAGGCTGCCACGGCGGAAGAATGGACGACGCATTCAAGTACATCATCAAGCACAACGGCCTCACCACCGAATCCGGCTACCCCTACGGCGGACAAGACCTCGGCCGCTGCAACCTTACCACCGCATCCTTCCGCGCCGCCAAGATCGCCGGCTACGAGGATGTCCCGATGAACAGCGAGGCGGCGCTTCTCCAGGCCGCAGCCCACCAGCCGGTATCGGTGGCCATTGACGCCCGCGGACTGCAACTGCAGTTCTACGCAGGGGGAGTGTTTACCGAAAGGTGTGGGACGGAGTTGAACCACGGCGTGACGGTGGTCGGATATGGAACCGGCGAGCGTGGGATAAAGTATTGGCTGTTGAAGAACTCGTGGGGTGAAAAATGGGGAGAAGATGGGTACTTTAGGTTGCAGAGGGATATTGATGCTAAGGAAGGGCGTTGTGGGATTGCCTTGGACCCTTCTTACCCAACTCTTTAAACAATGTGGGAATTGAAACATAGTATAACCTACCTACATATAATACAATGTTGTTTTATTATGTATTTTATTAAAAAAAATAAGCATCTCACATAAAATCTCTTAAGATTATGAGTATGTTTTTTTAGTAGTGATTCTGTTACAATGAAATATCTGTTCATAATTACTTTCTCAACCTACTTAAGCATAAAGAGTCTATACGTAACGCACAAACTTTATTTTTCATGGGATGTGATGGGGTATGGACCCAACGGGCTTAGGGCCCAAGAAGGGAAAAGGATCAAGCCCAAAGAAGGAGAGGCCCAAAGATAAACCCAGGTCAAAACGAGTTGGAGGTCAGTGCGAGCGCGAAGTCAGGGCGAGTAGGAGATCGGCTTAAAAGTAGGGCAATTTATATCCTACACCACGGCACGCGTTGCACTATGCGCCCAGATGCAAAACAACGTCGTTTTAATTATTTTTTTTTTTAAATTTCCCGCCCCAGTGAATGGCAGTAGTTTTTTCTTTAAAAAAAAAACCCGCTGTTCAAGAATGTACATAATGTTATACTAGAATACACATAATGTTATACATGAATGTACATAATTATATAACAAAATATACATACTCTTTTTAAAAGATAATACACATAATTTAACATAATACATAATAAGCATAAACTTTTAACATAATACACATCAACTCTTAACATAATACACACAAATTTTCTGATTCGGATGTACATAATTGTATAAAAAGAATGTACATAATTGTATAAAAAATACACATAACTGTATGAACCAATACACATAACATTGTGAACAAATACACATAACATTGTAAACAAATACACATAATCTCAACAACTTCCTACCGCGCCTGTCGTTTTGGGAGGCGCGCGGCGCACAGTGCTATGTGCGACGTGGTGTAGGATATAACGATTGCCTAAAAGTAGTCATTAGCATTTACAAGACCTATTAAAAGGCCCAATTAAAAGGCCCAGTCAAGCAAACCGTTAAGAGACCCAGTAACGACAACCCAACGACATTAGAATTAATAAAGGCCCATTATGGCCCTTAAATTTAAAGGCTTTTAATTTCCCAGGGAGGATCCCTATAAAAGGGTCTCCTCAAAAGCTGTGAAGGGAGGGGGCAAGTGGACCCGAGTTCATAACGGCGTTGCTTTAAGGGAAAACGCGGTCTTTCAGTTAAAAAAATAATTTTGTTTCGGCGTTATTCGTTTGTGGCATTATGAAAGTACAATTATGGAATTATGAATATACCATTGGGAGAATACATACAGACTTACACAGTTACCAGTTTACCCATTTTCCTACTTCTATTTTCGAAAGGTGAATCCACCCAACCAAGATTGTGTCCTGGGCCCAAAAACCCTAAAACCAACCGGATGTTTCAACATATATAAAGATATAAACATTAAGATAATCGTTCATATCTATAAAGAACATAATAAGGTAGTTGATCAGGAGCCGCTAGCCCTTTCACAAGCTTCTTCCCCAAAAAAAAGTTTAGGTGTTTTTAACACATAAACATGTCTCTATCTTGTTGATTAAAAAAAAAAAAACAAACAAACAAATTAAATGTTCAATTAAGGTTTTTTTTTTTTTTTCTTATCTTTTCAAAGAAACCAGAGACAAACATCAAATGATGATAATGAAACAATACAGAGACATCAAATGACATGAAAAATCCATTACTACAAAAATAACGTCAATTTTTAAAAACTCATTCAAAAGTGTACACATAGGTCGCCTCGGTTTTGGTAATTAGGTACAAACACACTAACCGTATAAAAGAATGAAATCTCTTGTGTCAATTTCAACATCATCCTTGGGGACCGTCCATGACCCCTCCCGATACGGCGGCGCCTCGACGACGGCAGAGCCTCCTCCCGGAACATCATTGGAATGGTGGTTTATGCGGCGGCTTCCGTCCTCGTTATGCTTCGCCGGCGGGTGATAGTACATCCGAGAAGTTTGAGGACAGTGAGCATTGAATCTGGAAGCAATTCGGGCTCCTAAATCCAAAAAAAATCTTCCCATTTTGGATCTCCCGCCCCTATGTATCCTCTTGTAAAAGCAAGAGGAATAAGACGGGAGAGAGAGAGAGAGCGCAGAGAGAAGAGAGAAAATTAAAGTGAGAGATCGAGGGTTAGGTTTTATGGGGCAATACAATATATATATAATGGCAGAACGGTTTCCTTTTGGTGTTTGTGAGGTTGCCATAGAAATACCACACGTTGACTAAATGGTTGAGAATTTTACAGCAAAGACCCCTACGCCACTTGGTGTGAACGGTTTCAATTTTGTAAATGATATTTATTGATATTTACAACAAAGAAGGAAAAGAAGTTAAAATATGACCAAAAGAAGGGGACCTAATTAAAGCACTCATTAATTCAAAAAATCCATTCTATAGATTATGCATATATTGCAATTTGCAAAGCATGTAATATATATTATATATAGAAATACTTTATTGTCACAACTGTCATGTCAGATTGTCAGGGTGTAGAGGAGTCTGGAGTGGACGATTCCATCTTTTGTCACAAGAAATACTTTATGCATTATAAACCATAATACTTTATGGTTTATAATGCCTAGAGAAATAGAGTTTTATAATATATACTCTATTTATCTTATTTTATCTGTCATACTTACTATTCATTCGTGAACTCAAATTTTTCTTCTTTGTTTATTTTTTTTATTTTTTATTTACTTTAAATTTGATTTGTTGATGTTTGATAAATTAGTTGTTAATTGTTAGCTGATTATATGCAAAATGACTTTTTCAAAAAGTTAATTAAAAAAATTACTTTGATTAGCTTTTTTGAATTTTAGCATTCTAAAACAATAAAATATTACAAAAAAGTTAATTAATCAAATACTTATATTGATTGTTTAACCAAATTAAATAACTAATAATAGTCCAATAAACCAAAATTGACTGATAAGTCAAGTATATTACCAAACATGACCATAATCCTAAAACATCATATCATAAAGTAATGATACATATAGCCCTATTTCTTAATTAGGGAAAAAAAAAAAAGTCTCTCGCAATTATTGTTATTTTGTTTTTCAATAAAATCATATGATAAAATTTTTATACCTAAAATACTTTCCAATATCATATCATATCATACGAGGGCTGACGTCAGCAGAATCAATCCCGTGCCAGCACCATCTATATCCGCCGCACTCACATCCCCAACGGCGCCGGCCGCTCCCGGAAACACCACCATCATCATCCTGCAGGTGGCGGTAGTAGTTTTGGAAGGCAAACGCACGGCGGTGATCAACATCGCCGTCGTTTCGGAAGGCAAACGCACGGCGGTGATCAACATCGCGGTCGTTTTGGAAGGCAAAAGCACGGCGGCGGCGATCATAGTCGCGGTGGTGGTTCCGCTCGTGCTTAACAGGAGGGTGGTAATACATCCTAGAGGTCTGTGGGCAGTGGGAATTGAAGCGCGCCACCATTCTTACTCCGGCGTCCAACAGCGCCACGTATTTCCCCATGGCCGGCTTTCCCAGCTCCGATCTCGATCTCTGAAACAATCTTCTAGTCTATCTACCTAAATAAAGGAGAAATAAAGAATTTGTTAGAGCATGATGTCGATGTCCCAAAAGTCAGAGCCCATGGAAGGTGGGAGACGATGGCTTTTGGTTGAAGAAAAAGAAAACCCAACATTATATATATACATCCATATGACTATATATATATATATATATATATATATATATATATATATATATATATACACACACACACAAACCACTAATACTAGGTTTTGGGTTATGCTTCCTTGACAAAGCAATCCTAGATTCCTAAACAAGTCGCTAAAGTTTTGGGGGTGTTTAGTTGGGAGGAATGAATTAGGAAAGAAAGAAATTATAATTCCGTAAGAAAAGAATAAGGTAGGAATTATGTAGGAATTCAAATTACATTATTTGGTATGGATAAATAGAATTATTGAGGATGAAAAGGAAAAAGTGATATAAAAATTAAAATATTCTTGTGTAATAATAATAATAATAATAATAATAATAATAATAATAATAATAATAATAATAATAATAATAATAATAATCACCGCTGATACTTTTGTCATTTCTTATATTTTCCCGTGTTTCTCACAAGCATTGAATTGGAATTCTACTCCTATGAACTGCAATTCAACAAAAGGATATAATTGTAATTCCCTTAAACTAAATTAAACAACCTAATTGATGCCTAGCTTCATTGAATTACAATTCAATTACAGCTCAATTATATCCAACCAAACGTCCTGTTAATTCATAGTTTATAAAGATTGTTGGGAAAAAAAAATTATGTGTGTGGGAATGCGGATCAAGTTTTCAACCAATTATTATACCATGGATCATTCACATTGTAAAGTGAACCATTAACATAATATTCATTTTTAATAAATTGAAAGTTTATTTTTTAAAAAAAATTTCATTTTTAGTATGCAAAATTGTATTTCAGGTTTAGCATTTAAAAATGAACATTTATCAATAATTTATATTGTAATATAGATCATGATCTATAATATAATTTGACATTTTCAACTAGGTTGATTTTTTATTTAACTATGATATCTCTTGCATGGGACTCAATTCAATTAGGTTGATTAGAACTCTTGACATTTTAAAAATTACTGTACTAAACGTACACTAAACAGATGCTCACCAGTTCTAATTTTATTACAATTGTTTAATGATCCGCTTACCAATTGCTTTAAACTGTTTAGATTAAACTATAATTCTTTATAATGATAATCACATTGATAACCAAGGATTGTTACATTGCGAATTTAGCAATTTATTGGCCTTTTCTTAATTTTAAAGGGTCAAAAGTTTATCTTATAGGCTAATTTAGATTGAATTATCTCGTATTTATTTGTCGGTTATGGACTTCACTTATAATGTATATCTGAATAACAATAGTAGACTTTTCCTTTCAAAAAAACAATAGTAGACTTTTGCATAAATTAAATAATTTAGCAATTTAGGGTAAAGTAGATGTTGGCCTTTGGACCCACGAAAATAAATATGAACTGCAAATTGCAAATAATGCCCCTTTATTTTAATTAATGCAAATTGGAAATTGGAAATTGGAATAATTCCTATGGCAATTGCCAACAATTGAGTATTCACCATTGACCCATACCAACTTGAGATCCAAATTACCATGCACACCACATACTATATTTTAATTTTGAAAAGTATTACTTTCATTTTCGTACTACTGGCTCTATTATAATGCAGCATCTGTCAAAATTATTTTCTCAACCTATCGAAGATTATTATTCGAACCCACAATCTCCTATATGAGAGAGCAACTTGGTGCCACTAGACCACATGATTCTTGGTTACTTTCATTTCCTTAATTATGATATAGATTTAATTTTTAAAATTATTTTGTAGTGTACATACATTTTATTCTCCAAATTTTAAAAATTTTGATTCCTAAACTTGTTGACGAAATTCCCAAATAAATACACCACTTCAATAAAAATATAAACACAAATATATTAAATAATTTCTTTTTGAGTACTATTGACTCTATTACAGGTAATATCTGCCGATACTACATTATAATAAAACCAGTACTAGTGTCACCATAATCATCTCCATTGAGGCTCAAACCCACCACCTCCCACGTAAAAGAGCAATTTGGTACCAGTAGACCACAAGGTCCTTGGTACCAACACACATGTTTTACTCTGCTTTATCTTTACTTCAATTCTCTATTTTTTTTTTTAAATCAGTTTATTTATGTTTTATAAATTTTCAAACGTGTTTTCTATATATATGTTAAAAATTCTTTAAAAATAAAGAAATTTTTTCGGTCTGTAAAACACTCCGAGTCTGACTAACAAATGAATGAATGTGAATCATATTTTGGGCTTAATGGGCCTAGCAGTTCAAAGATCATATCTACTGGGCTTCCAGATTGAATAAATGCGCTCAGGAATGGGCTTAGCATTGTGAGGCCCAAATATATGTGATAACCCCCGACGGCTGACGCAAATCACTCTGCTTCCAACTCTCGCAACAATGGAGCTCCACATCCATCATCTATGCTCCTCCTCATCATACTCCTTCCTCATTTCACCCCTCACCCATTCGAAGAAATTCCCCAGAGAGCTGAAAATTCATAAAACCATACAATTCTTTAGAGTCTGTGCAGCAAAGTCAATCCCGGACTCGGAGAACGCTTCTTCACTAGACCTGCAAAAATGCTCGAAGAAGGAACTCTCTCGGATTCTCCGAACCGAGGCGGCCATCAATGCTATTGAGAGGAAAGCAAACTCTAGCAAGTACAATAACCTCTGGCCCAAGCCTGTCTTGGAGGCTCTCGATGATGCTATCAAGGGAAACCGTTGGGAGTCTGCTCTTAAGGTTACTCAACTTTTACTATTCACCTTTTATAATGAATTTTCTGTTCAACTTCCTATTTTTCTGCCATGGTAATTCACAGCTTTTAGAAATTTTGGGGGTTTTCTTTCTCGTGGGAATAAAGGGCCATAGATGAATAATAGAATCTTGGTGAACAGCTAAAAAGGTAGACCTAAACGATACCGTTTAAGTAGCATAATCAATTGCCATTTGCACTATAACAATCATGATGATGCAATGTAATGTTTATGTACATGAGGGGTGTTTGGTAAATAGTTGTTAGCTTATTAGATTAGTGGATTTGACTAATTTATAGCATTAGCTGATTGCAAAAAAGTGATTGGTAAATTAACTGTTAGGTCTGATTATATGCAAAATGACTTTCTCCAAAAGTTGATTGACTTTTTGAAATTTTACATTTTGGAACAATAAGTTGTTACAAAAAGTTAATTAATAAAACACTCATATTAATTGCAGTGGTCAAATAAGCCAAAATTGGCTAATAAGCTAACTATGTTACAAAATAGGGCCTAAGATTTTGTTCTCACCAACATTATGAACTTATTGCAAGGTGAATGGAAATATATATAATATATCTGCAGTTTAGTGTTTATGTACGTTAAGGCTTAGATTTATACTCATATAGAATAGATATTACGAACATAGTACATGATGAATTATTTTGTTTTCATGAATATTATGAACTTATTACAAGGTGAATGGAAATATATATAATATATCTGCAGTTTAGTGTTTATGTATGTTAACTTGTTAAGGTTTGGATTTATTATCGTATAGAATAAATATTATGAACATAGTACAGCCGGTACAAGATTGAATGATATTAAACACGATCTTTTTGTAGTGTTGTATAAGATTTATTTGTTAAGTAAACAGGAATTTATAACCATATACTCGACAGAACCTATTTCATTGTTTTCATCAAAGTTTACTTGTCTACAGTCTACTAGATTTACATTCACTTATATGAGTATTAAAGAAATTGAACCTGCTAGTTGTAGATTTTCAGGCTTCTTCGTAAGCAACACTGGTATGAGCCAAGATCCCGGACATATGCAAGGCTTTTGGTAATGCTTGGCAAGTGCAGGCAGCCAAACCAAGCTAGCTTACTTTTTGATCTCATGCGATCTGATGGGCTTCAACCAACGCTGGATGTTTACACTGCGCTTGCAAGTGCATACGGTCTTAGTGGCCTACTTGATGAGGCATGGCATACGATTCATGATATGAAGTCGATCTCTGATTGCAAACCTGATGTGTATACTTACTCAATCCTTATCAAATGCTGCATGAAATTCCAACGTTATGATATGATTGAGCACATTTTAGCTGAGATGTCGTATTTGGGAATTGAATGCAGTACCGTGACTTACAATACTATAATTGATGGATATGGAAAAGCTAATCTTTTTGAACAAATGGAAAACTCCTTGATGGAGATGATTGAGAGTGGCATGAGCCTTCCCGATGTTTTCACTTTGAATTCAGTTATTGGAGCCTATGGCAAATCTGGAAACATTGAGAAAATGGAGAAGTGGTTCGATGAGTTCCAGCTTATGGGGATAAAGCCAGATGTCATGACATTTAATATACTAATTAAGTCATATGGAAAAGCAAAAATGTATGCAAAAATGGGTTCGGTACTTGATTACATGGGGAAACGGTTCTATTCCCCAACAACGGTTACCTATAATACAATCATTGAGACATTTGGAAAAGCGGGAAATATTGATAAGATGGAAGAGTTTTTCTTGAAAATGAAACATCAAGGAATGAAGCCTAATTCAATCACTTATTGCTCTCTGATTAGTGCTTATAGTAGAGCTGGAATTCTAGAAAAGGTTGATTCGATTTTGAGGCAAGTAGAAAACTCAGATGTGGTTCTAGATACTACATTTTTTAATTGTGCCATTCATGCTTATGGCCAAGCTGGTGATATAGAGAGGATGGTTGAGTTGTTCTTCAAAATGAAGGACAGACAATGTAGACCCGATAATATCACCTATGCTACCATGATAAAGGCATACAGTGCACAGGGGATGATTGAAGCCGCTGAAGATCTACAGAGTAGAATGATCAGTGGTAATGACTTTCCAGGTACTCATATGAATGCCTTGCAGTTTGCAGACAATTATAATTATTTATTTTTTTTTTGTGCATTTTCTCCTCGCATGAAATACTTCTATCTAGCTGTGCAAGAGGGTGAAGTAAATAAATAGTAGCTGTATTTAGTAATATCTAACGGCTTTCTATATTGTATAAACCAGTTTTTCAGACGTTTAATGAAATTCAGATCGACTTTTAATTTGTTTTTGTGACTACTTGATATCTGATATCAATTTTGTGATTTTTTAAACTCTAGAAACAAAGTTAATTGGATCACCGACACCCCTTGATTAGTTGGTGTGGGAGAGAGGACCTTCTTCGACGTTTTGTACTGGAAAGTTTGAAGTTCTTTACGTGTGAAGTGACAATTGCCAGCTTGTAAGTATTGCAGCTTGCTTTCTATTTCTAATCACCTTGTTTGATCTAAATATTACATCCTGAAAGGTTTTATGCACTTTCGTATATTAACATGTAATTTCTGACTAATTGATTTGTAATCTCCAACTAATGTACTTGCAGTATGAATGCTGTCCTTGCCTATCTTTCTGCAGGCTTCTTGTGGGTGTCTTGTTAAGCGGCTGGACGAAAGTACAGAACCCAATATATATAATTGAACTTATACGGCCCCCTTTTTTGATGAATCTGAATGAATCCCGCAATGATGATGAACACATACAATCGACAACTTGGAGGCTATCAGAATCCGGGATCCTCAATCGTCTGCCCCATGTGTAGTATATAGAAGACCTCTACACCTCATAGCTACTTACTGGACTCTGCTTGGGCATATATACTGGAATGTGAAACTGGGAGATTGGACAATTAGTCCACTTGGGATTGATTCAAAGACTGATGGGAGGCACAAACCAAGAGTCCTGCTTCCCCATTAGATATCTTTTGCCTAAATGTCTTGTTTCTTGTATAGGTTATAACATTGAAAGAATGTATACCTTCGTATAGTGGTTGCGAATTTCTCTCGTCACTTGAAAAAGATAGCAACAATCCTTGATTTGCGTAACGTCATGTCTGTTAAATCAGCCGTAACGTGTTGAATATGTAATTTTAGATTTTAGATTTAATTGTACATTTTTGCTAGTCAAAAGAATTTTTATAAACAAATTTTGAGACCAATTGCATTATTTATTTGAAGGGAAAATTGTAATTTATGTTCCTCACAAATATGTTAATTATCAATGTCATTCTTGTATTATTAGTGGGGTAAATGTTGCCCCTTAAGTTTCAAAAAGTGACATATATTACCCTTTCTTTGAATTATTAGTGGTATAAATGTGGTTACTCGACGTTTTCCCTCTTTAAAGATCATGTTTTTTTTTCTCAATTTTTCTTTCTTTGTTTGTTCTCCTTCTGTTGACAACAATATTTCTCCTTCTCTTTCCTATTAGGAGATGGACAATATATGTCACGTTTTGAAAATTGATGAGCAATATTTACATCACTAATAATTCAAGAGTCACAGACATATTGATAATTGATAATTGACATATTTGTGAGAAGTATAAATTATAATTTTTTTCTATTTGATTTAAGGGCTTATTTATTACAGAAGTATTTTTTTTAAAAATTGGTTATTTTAATTAAAATGAGAAAAAAAAAAAAATGGAGCCCAAAAAGGAAGACAATACGTAGTCCAAAGACTAAAGTGCCAAAGCCCAAACCCTCAGAAGTCAGAACTCGCGCTCTCATTTTCAATTTCTCACTGCCTAAACCCTCGCGAGTGAAGTCACGCCATCTCTCTCGCTCTCACAGAGTCGCGGGCTCTCTCTCATTCTCACTGCGGCGAACTAGAGAATCAGGCAGGCAGGCAGGGTGGTGAATCGGCGATAACCTCCGGGATCTCTGCCGTCTCCGGTATGTCATGGCCTTCTACTACTGTGTTGAAAGGAGAAATATGGAGATTTAAATGTTTAATTAACTATTTTTACTACAATTTTCTAACATGTATGCACTACTCTCTCAGTCTCTTTCGGAGTCTGTGGTCGTTGATTATACACTTATACAGAGTTCTAGCCGTTTAGCATATAAAATGCGATAAAATGTTATAGTTAGTTTTGAGATTTGTGAATGCTGCTTAGGCCGTCTCTGTTGTTGTTTCCCCTTTGAAAGTTAAACGATCTACCAGTACTGTTAGTGGTCCATGGAGGATTTGAGGCTGATCAATAGTTATTTCTGAAATGGAGTCTTGTTATGTTTCATGTTTATTTTATTATATACCATTGTTGTGAAGGAATAATGTAAAGCAGTAGGAGACGCCTAGAAGTGATATAATGTGTGAAAATATTGGTTCTCTTTCTGTTAGGTTTGAAGTTTTTTTTTTTTTATTTATTTTTTTCTGAATTACAGGATACTAGATTGCTAATCCATTGATCCAAAGATAGATTATCTGTAACTTTTTCATATAGCTATTTGATTTTTTTTAATTCTCTTTCTATTGATTTGAATATGACACTTCCCTTTCCTTCATGTTTATTCACCAAAAACATCACTAATTTGTAGATGTCATCATTATAATCACAAATTCCTCACTTCTATTAAATTAATCTTACGTAATACTTAATAGAGTTTACTTATTGTGGTTTTGATACTAAAATTTGATCTCTTCAATAAAATATATTGGATTTTGGAGGGTCAATGAACTATCAAAGTAGAGATTAGAGATGGATGGATGCCTTGTTATCTTGAAGATGAGATGTGTAAATCTGAGCATACATTGTTTTTGAAGTTGGCATGTATATCAGTACTAGAACATGTGTCACATGACACTTGAATGCTGGAATGTCTTGTTTCTAGTATAGGGTATAAAATTGAAAGAATGTTCAATTGGCATCATTAATTAATGAGGTTATTAGGGAAAGATGTATAAGCTCGAAAACTAGCTGATGCTATCATCTGTTAATTTTGAAAAGAATTAATACCGTTTTGTGATCAATGCTACTCTTTTTTCTTTCTTTCTTTTTCTTTTTTTTTTTTGAAAACTGACCAGTCTGACCTAAACTGATTGATGCGCATGTCTAGTTTGATGAAAGGAGAGTAGCTTTTTTGGTCATGGTTGAATGCAAAATTAAGTATATTTTGGCTTTGCTGCATATATGTTCTATTTGTGGGCTTATGTTTATTTACTTCGTTCATTTTCTCATTTGCACCCTACAGAGTCTAACAACATGATTCGAAGAATAACCCAAATCAACCATCTGAACCCTTCGATTCCTGCATCTCTCGAAACTTTAAGCCACCAATTTGTACAACGATGCTTAGTGAGTGGAACAGCAAAGGGCAAGGGCAAATTGAAGGATGGTCAGACCTTGAAGAGATCCAAAATTTCTACCAAAAAGGGCTCAGAAACTACACAGAAAGAGGCTCCAAGAAGAAAAAGTGAGTTGGATGAAATGCTTGAAGAATGCTTGACCTCAACATCACCTCGCCGGTTCTTGAAGCCAAAAGAGATGGAACGTGAAGCAGAGAGAGAGAAGATGGGCCTAACTTCCAAAGCCCGCGAAGATGAGAAAAAGAAATTGAAGAAAATGGGGAAGGAGTTTGACTCTCCTTGGATGATTGGGACTCCAAGTTTGGACTTGATCTCTTTGGGGTTAGTTGATGCCGATAAGATACCAAAGTACGAGCTGACGGTAGAGGATGGGCGAAGGCTAGCCAAGGAGTACAGTAAGGTGCTGATGAGGAAGCATAGGGCAAGGCAGGCTGCAGAGTCCTCGCTGTTGAGGTTGAAGAAAGAGGCTATCGAGGCACTGCCGGATAATCTAAAAGCTGCAGCTTTGGTTCCTGATTTATCCCCATTCCCAGTAAACCGGTTTATGGCAACCTTGACACCTCCAATCGAAGGATATATCGAGAAGGTTCAGGAAGCAGCAAGGAGGAGCTCTGGAAAGGAGAAGCTCCGATAAACAAGCTTCAAGGTTAGGTGTTTATGCTGTTTTCTGCAATAATCCTTTGTTCAGTTCATTAAAGACATACGCACTGGGAAACAGCACTACTTTCTGTTAATCCTCAAGACAACAAAATTGCATCTTTTGTAGCTTTTCGCTAATTTTGTTTTGATAATGGGTGTAACAAAAGAAGTCAGGGTCGACTGGGGAAGTCTTTATCTGCACAGATTGCAACCTTCTCTTCTCAAGGGTTCCATATACTGATTGCACCAGATGAACCTCTAGATGTTATAAGGGGCTCTCCATCAAGGCTAAATGATAATGCGGTAACAGAACTCTTTTTGTATAATCAGATTCCTGTCGGGTTTGGTTGTAGTTGCTGCTAATTCTATTACAGAATTTAGGAGAAAAGACAAATGACTTTTCATAGAATGAGAATGATGCCTAGGTGGCAATTATTATTTTTAGAAAGGAAAAATGAATTTTAGCCCCTCAATTGTGCTGTTTTTGTCAATGTCATTGCAAGATATACACTCTTAACCTTGCAAAAAAGAAAAGTGTGATTTTTACCCCTCAAACAACGGAACAGTTAAATCTTTAATGACATTTGGTTCATCTTGTCATGTATAATTATTTAATTAGCATGTGTTTTTAGTCAAAATTACTTATGAATGAATTCTTTTAGTAAAAATGACTTTAAAAAAACATTTTTTTTTTCTTTTGGTCAAGCCATGAGGTGTCTTGAGCGGTCCTTAATTGTAGGAGACACCTTTAAGCTCCATACCACTCTAGATTGGTTTTTTCATACGAGAGAGGGTACGAACTCCTGACTTCTCTAAAGAATTTGAGTGCACGGCTGCTCATGCCAACCAAGCTGGTTAATATTTTTTTTTTCTTTATTTAAGAATAAAATGAAACAAGCACACCTAAAATAAAAATAGAAAATATTATTAGGTCACAAATTCAACTTTTGTCAATATCTTATGGGGTGCTTGGTAGGATGGAATTGTAATTCCATAGTTTGGTTGGAGAGAATTGCAATTCTATGGAATTACAATTCCTTCCCACCATGAAATTGTAATTTTATGATAAATTACCATTTTATTCTTCTTATGATTATTACTATATTATTATATAAAGATATTTTAGTCTTTATTTACTTATTTCCTTTCAATTCCCAATCATTCTATTCTTTCGTACCAAACAATGTAATTTAAATTCTTACTTTATTTTTTTTTTCGCGGAATTATTATTTCTTTCTCCCGTACTTCTTTCTTCCAACCAAACGCCCTGTAGTTGAGTCTGAATTTTTTTGTGTGTGATTTGTGAACTATAACGAGGGAGTGAGGTTTTCCTTGTGTACACTCTCAGGTAATTGTGAGTTTTTGTCATCAGCTAAAATGAAATAGAAAATATTACTAAACAGGTCCGGAATACTTTTGTCTCATTGCTTTTTTTTTCCCCCCTTATCTGATTTTTTTTTTTTTTAAAAGTAAAAATTGGGAAAACAGCACTGATTATTAGTAGTAGGAATGATTAAGAATTATTAATGATAAGCAATTATAGAGAATGATAACATTTCATTTAAGTATTCAGTCAAATTAAATGATTAAACTCGTAATAAGTCTGACTTTTATGTTGGAATTTTAATTTGATTTGATCAATTCAATGCCTAATTCACATAGTCAAATAGATCTCACGTAACAATTAGGCATTGGTATTAAAGGACTGTCATTTTTTTCCCCCTTTTACCCAATAGGGTGATTGACTGATTGTACAATTTTAGTTAACAATTGGATTAAAAACATCTCCTTGACAAAAACTCAAGGACTAAAAGCAACTACAACATTAATAACTTATGGATTGAATCAATTATTTCCAATAACTTAAGAACTAAAATTGTCGTTTCTTGAAAATTTTTGCATAACAAAAGATGTAAAGAAATTAACAATTAGATATACTTAAGTGATAATAGCTATTATTTATAAAGATAAAGAGAGAGATCACTCGTTGAAATGTACTGATGAATTGCGACACACGTACTA